CTTTTAAAGTTTTATTTCTGTAAATAAAAGAAATACTATAAACAAAAGTTCCCCCAAATTTTTAAGTTATAAACTTCTGTTTATAACATAGAAAGTAAGTGTTCTCCCTAATATCTGCCCCACAACACAAATATAGTGAGTAATCTGATGTACCTTAAGTTTTTTCAAAGCCTTGTTCTGCAATTTGTTTTTGTTATTTAATATATCAGATGCCAGTACATATAAATATACCTCAAACTTAAATATTACAATAGCAGCATAGTAATAATAATTATAATAATAATTGCTGAGATTTATTGACCCATGTATGTCTAGGCACTATTTATGCACTGAGGTTATCTCATTTAATCCTAAGACTCTGAATTTATTAATAATGTAAACTTCTTTTAACAGATAAAGAAACCGAAGCTTAGAGAGACCAGATAATTTGCCAAAGATCACAGAGCTAAGACATTCTAGAGCAGAGATTCTATAATTCAGAGAACTTAGTCGACTGGGTAAACCATAAGTAACATAAGGTGGAGATTATTTCCAATTTCTCCCTATTACAAATAATGCTTCAATAAATATTCTTGTCTATATTTCTTGGCACTCTTGTGGCAATGTTTCTATAGGATAAAATTCTAGAAGTGAAAATGCTAGGTCAAAAGGTATGTTAATTTTTAGATTTAATTGCCAAATTATCTCCAAAAGTATGTGTATTTGTAGACTCAAATGACTCCAAACATGAATTCAACTCCCATGAAAAGCACATGAGACTGCTTATTTTCCCCACATCTTTAGTAGCAATGGGTATCAATCCTTGCTCACTAATAGGTGAAAATTAAAGTTTTCATTTCTTTATTGGGTTATTAGTAAGGTTATCAACTAGTCTTTTCATATACTTACTGTCATTTTTATTTCTTCTTCTTCCACCATATACAATACTCATATCCTCTGGTAATACTAAGTTATTCTTTTTCCTTTTGACTTCATAATAATTCTTTGTATATTAAGGTATATCTGTTGCCCTGCTTGGTTTTGCTCAGTGGTTAGAGCGTTGGCCTGTGGTCCAGAGAGACCTGGGTTTGGTTCCCGCTAAGGGCACATACCTTGGTTGCAGTTTGTCCCCGGCCCTGGTTGGGTCGTGCAGGAGGCAGCCACTCAATGTGTCCCTTTCACGTCGATGTTACTCCCTCTCTTCCTCTCTCTCTCTCCCTCTCTATCTGAACAAAAAATGAAAAAATGTCCTCAGGTGAGGATAAAAAAAAAAGATATACCTGTCATTATGTACTATAAGCCTTTGAGGAGTTTGTTTTACAATTTTGTTCATGGAAGTGTTGCCGCACTTAAACTTATAATTCTGTATTGCTGAATATGAATTTAGGTGATTTTACAAAGGAAACAACTTATTCTTACTACAGCCCAAATTGCAATGTTTTTCAACATACACAGATATGTACATAGTTATAATGAATGTTCACAAATAGTGCATCCTACTTTTTTCATCTAATATTATTTCATGTATACATTCCCATGTAATAACAGACAACATGCCTAAAAAGTTACGATGGATTCCATCATGTTGATATATTAATAGTCTACATATTATTTACTTATTTTAAATAAATATTTATTTATAAATTTATAAGAAAAAATTGCAATCCTGTAAGACACTCTGGGTATTGTTTGGATATCTACAATTAGAAAGGTGAGGCTCCTCAGCCTGCATTGTAGAAGAAACTAGAAGAGTAGCTTGACTGAAGAACTGGCAAGTTATGTGGAAAACTTGAAAATATTAATCATAGGTAGTGTGTTTCCAACAGCACACAAAATTCCATCCAGCACCTGCCCAAGCTTTTTGATTCCCTGGAACCAGAGCTCTCACTATTACTCTAACATCAAGGAAGGCTGTCATTTCCCTAAATAGTGAATATTATCTGGTCAGATATAATATTTAACATGTATGGTGCTGTTGTGGTAGGTTTGAACCTAGAGTTTTGTCTTTTTTAACAAACTATTAAAATGTGTGTCAAAGATCTCTGACTTTCCTCTCATATAAAAGAAAGCATTTTCGCCCTGGCCAGTTTGGCTCAGCGGTTAGAGCGTCGGCCTGCGGTCCGGAGAGACCTGGGTTCGGTTCCCGCTAAGGGCACATACTTCGGTTGCAGTTTGTCCCAGGCCCTGGTTGGTTGTGCGGGTGGCAGCCACTCGATGTGTCCCTTCACGTCGATGTTTCTCCCTCTCTCTCCCTCCCATTCTATCTGTACAAAAACTGGAAAAATATCCTCGGGTGAGGATTAAAAAAAATAATAATAAAAAATAAATAAAAGAAAGCATTTTCCTCTGTAGGTCAAGATTTTAAGTTATTTTTCTCATTACTTCACTTTGACATAACTGGGAAAACAAATTCACTGCTATAAACAATACAATAACACTGTCAAAGGCTTATTGGACTTGTGAACCCAATTTGGTTTAAATTTAGATCACCCCTTTCATTTATTATCTCATCAAGGTCCCAAGTACTTAAACACTACTTTAAATAGCTTATAGGCTTGCTTTCTGTTTAATTTTATAGGATTTCTCAGCAAAAAAAGTGACCCTCCATCATCTAAAAACAGAGGTTAGTTCTGCCAGCCTATGATTTGCTAAGTTAATATTAAAGTCTTTGCACTTAATGTTTTGAATTTAGAAAAGATATTGCAGCGCAGCCGGTGTGGCTCAGTGGTTGAACATCAACTCATGTACCAAGAGGTCGCTGGTTCGATTCCAGGTCAGGGCACATGCCCAGGTTGTGGGCCCGATTCCCAATGGGGGGCATGCAGGAGGCCGCCAATCGATGTTCTCTCTCATCAATGTTTCTCTCTCTCTGAAATCGATAAAGAAAAAAAAATTTTTTTAACTTAAAAAATAAAAGATATTGCAGATGACTTCATTTATAAAGACCAGACACATTTCAATGTTGTTCATTTAGCAACTAAAAGTAATGGACTTATATAATTGTTCTTCAGCAACTGCTTTATATAGAGAATCATTATTGACCTTTCCATGGATTACTACTTTAAGACTTCTTTTTTAGTTAACAAATGACTGATTCTTTCCATTCTAAATCAAAATGGTATTAACAATTTATTTCCTTACAGATTAAAAAATGTGGGTCAGAAAAAATATGAATAATATGAATAAAAATATTGAGTATTCAAGTTATAAATCTAATAGTTTTTCTCTAATGTCAGTCCCTTTATTTCTTTATTCAAATACAGTGTTTCGTAAACTATGGTCCCTGGACCAGAAGCACTGGCAAGATCTGGGAATTGGTCAGAAATGCAAATTCTCTGGCCCCATCCCATACCTAACAAAATCAAGAACTCTGGGTATGGGGCCAGAGAATTTGTAAAAACAATTCTTCCAGGGATGCTAATGCACATTAAGGTTTGAAAATCACTGTTCTAATATACAATATAAACAAATTTAGACTTCAAAAGAATTCACCTTTTTGTGTCTTAGGAAAGCATAAAGTTCTCAGCTAATCCACATAAATGATGTAAGTCTATATCAAATCAAGACATAAATATTCACTATTCTGAAGTTTATCTTTTCAATTTCCTCTAGCTTTAGTATATTCCTGTAATGTCAGTAGAAATGAAATGGAGGCTGACTTCTGGCAAAGAATTATGACACGTCAAGGAAAAAGAGCCAGTTGGATCCCCAGCCCCATCGGGGTCATGCAGGGGGCAACCAATCAATGTGTCTCTCTCACAGTCATGTTTCTCTCTCTCCTTCCTTCTTTCCTCCCTCCTTCCCACTCTATCTTAAAAAAAAAAAAAAAAAAAAAAAATCAATGGAAAAATATCCTTGGGTGAGGATTAAAAAAAATAATAAAATAATAAAAAGTAAACATGTTCTAGCAATACAGTGTGATCTGCCTCTGTTGACATTATCTCTGGATGTGGCCTCCCTGTCAATTTAGAAAAATTCTTCTTTCACTAGTGTTATTTCATCTATTAGTATGATTTCCCAGGTGGTTCTATTGTAATCCTACACATCCTTCAAAGTCTACTTTGTGAAGCCATTCTCCCCACATTTTGACCCTCGATTGGAATTCCAAATCTTCAGAGTGTAAAGGGAATTTCCAGGCCATGCAATGCTATAGTTCACTGCTCATTCCATGGACTAACCTTCTGCAGATTTGGCTGGCTGTCTTCAGCCTTTGTGACTGCTTTTAGTGACAAGCACACGCTGGCCCACAAGGCAGTTCATGCTCTTTTAGGCATACAGTAATTGTGAGAAAATTCTTCTTATTCACCCAGAACCTGTTTCCTGGTATCTTCCACCACTGGTTCTACCCTCTGGTTGAAACAGAGGAAAGTCTGATTCCCCAGCCCTTGTGCATCCTGCATAGCTTATAGCTGGCCTTGTGTTTTCCCCCATTCTGGCTCTACCTCTAAAAATTCTACCAATTCCCCAACCATCTCAGAGGCCATCTGTGGAAACCACATTCAGTCTGTAATAATTAGCTAACAGTCACGGGCAGATTTGATGTCTCTGTGTATGCCACAGATTACACCCTGTTCCTGATTCTCTTCTTTGAACTTGCTGAGGACTTCTACACTTAGCCTTGCATTTATCATTGTGTATTTTGTCTGTGAACATTTACTGAGCACTGTCAGGAATTATACTAGGTACTGAAAAAATAAAAGTAAATAAAAATGTATTCAGTCTATAGAAAAGAAAGAACAAGACAGGTAAAATAAGAAATAGCTGAGGAAGTTGGAGAGGCTTCAGTAGTAGCAGTGATATCTGAGCCAGTGATGAATTCTACAACACCAATGTCTCACACAGCCTTGTGTCCCTCAGCACTAAACGATGCAATGTTTTGCCCTCAGTTGAAGTTCAGAAAATATGTTAATGTGGTAAAATTGAGAAACCTGCTCAGCCCCCTCAGTCTCTTTAGGAAGTGAGAGAGGGTGATCATTGAATCCACAATCTGGCAAAGGCAGTTATAGAGGCTGACACTGTACCTGGCTACGTACAATATTGCTCAGGTGGCTGTCCTCGGACATCTGTGCATTCTGGAAGTAGGACAAGGGTGCAGGCAAGTCTGTCATTGGAGCAACTATACAGAAATACCTTTTCACAGAAAATAAAGCCTCTTGGGGTTCTGAAAAGAGAAAAAGAACAAAATAAATCCTTTGTAAATTACGATTATTCTTTTATTTTCAAACACTTTCATAAATTATATTCAGCAAAAACAAACCTTTCTTTCATGTGTTCTCCTCCAGGCCAAGCTTTCTAAGGACCTCACAGGCTACTGTCACTTGCAGACTCCTGGATTAGGTCTGAAATAGGATTTTACCAGGTCACCCAGAGTTGGTCAAATAATAATAAATCCATTCATACCAATCAAACATTTATAAGACCAATCTGTGGTCCGGCCGGTGTGGCTCAGTGGTTGAGCGTCCACCCATGCACCAATAGGTCACCGGTTCGATTCCTGGTCAGGAACATGCCCAGGTTGTAGGCCCAATCCCCAGTGGGGGGCATGCAGGAGGTGGCTAATCAATGTATCTCTCTCATTGATGTTTCTGTCTCTTTCTTTCTCTCTCTAAATTCAATAAAGAAAGAAATAAAAAAGAAGACCAATCTGTAAACCACAAATTTATTAATCTGCCATGACCTTCAACAAACTTTTATCAGCTAAAGATATCTCTTTGGTAATGAGTAGATCTATTTGAGAAACAAAGTATTTTCAATCACAAAGATAATGATTTCAGATTTAGAGCAAAGGGAGATGAATAATCTTAAAGAATGTCCTCATCAACATTTTTTTTTTTTTTTTTGAGATAAAGGGAGGAAGGAGGAAAGAGAAAGAAACACTGATGTGAGAAACACTGATCTATTGCCTCCTGCACATGCCCCAACCAGCGATCGAACCTTAAACCTAGGTATGTGGCCTGACGGGAAATCAAACTCACAACCTTTTGGTATACAGAACATCACTCCAACAACGTCACAGGGCAACGTTTCTTTCTCTATGTTGACCATCCAACCTAATTTTATATTTCCATTAAACTATTTGTTTAGTGCTTTTTAACAAAAATTTTTAATCAATTTTTAGAGAGGGAGGGAGATGAAGGGAGAGAGAAACATTGACGTAACAGGGACACATTGATCATCTGCTCAGGGATCAAGCCTGCAACCCCAGAATGTACCCTGACCAGGAATAGAACCAACAACCTTTTGGTGCATGGGATGACGCCCAACCGAGCCACACTGGCCAGGGCTGTTTGGTGCTTTTTAAAAAAATTATTTTTTCCTTTACTGATTTTAGAGAGACAGGAAGTGAGAAAGAGAGAGACAGACACATCGATGAGAGAGAATAAAGACTGGCTGCTTCCTGCATGCCCCCACTGGGGATCGGGCCTGCAACCTGGGCATGCATCCCAACCAGGAATCGAACCAGTGACATCTTGGTACATGGGTCGACGCTCAACCACTGAGCCACACCAGCCAGACTGTTTAGTGCTTTCAATTTTGCAAAATTCTGTCTATCTTCTCATTTATCCTTACCACAATGCCTCAAGGCAGAGTAAACAGGTAACATACATTTTTTTTTTAACTGATTTTAGTCAGAGAGGAAGGGAGAGGGAGAGAGAGATAGAAACATCGATGAGAGAGAACCATCAACTGGCTGCCTCCTGCATACCCTGCACTGGGGATTGGGCCCACTACCTGGGCATATGCCCCAACCGGGAATTGAACTGGTGACCTCTTGGTTCATGGGTCGACACTCAACCAGTGAGCCACACCGCCCGGGCACATACATATTTTTTAAAGCAGAAGGGGCCCAGCCGGTGTGGCTTAGTTGGTTGAGTGTCCATCCATGCACCAAAAGGTCACCAGTTCAATTCTTGGTCAGGGCACATGCCTAGGTTGTGGGCCAAATTCCCAGTGGGGGGGCATGCAGGAGGTAACCAGTCGTTGTTCTCTCTTATCAATGTTTCTCTCTCCCTCTCCCTTCTTCTCTCTCTAAAATCAATAAAGAATAAAATAAAATTAAAAATTAAAAAGCAGAAGAGGACACAAGTTCAGTGACTTGGCTAAGAAAATCACACAATTGGTCAGACCAGGATAAACATTGCAAACTCCTAAATCCCAGCCTCAGGTCTCTCTATTGCATCCAGGCACAGCCTTATTTATATATATCACTGTCTCCCAGAGTTCACCCTCCTGAGGGCCATGTTCCCATTTGCCTGCCTACCTTAATCTCCGTCAGCCAATTTTTTATGACTTCAATTTTCTTTTTTCTAAAGTCTTCAGAAATGTAAAAGGAAAAAATCTGTTTGCATACCTAAGCAGTACTCTATTTCATATATAGTATAATATTACCATGTACATATTTACATGAAAGCATTTTGTCAACATCTGGTTTCATTTTCACTTTTCAAGATCCTCTATCCCCTAAATTCTCCACTATTCTAATAATTTTTCATAAAAATACACATTAAAGTAACTTTTTCTTCTAGTGAAGGTACTAAATTCAAATTAACCCTTAGTTACCTATACTTGGGCTCACTCAAATCATGACAAATTTTTAACAAAGGTATGCTTTCCTTTCTATCCTACATGCTTTGATGTATATCATGCCCATTTTTCTCCTCCCCTCCAATTTCGGCCAGTAGTCATCTGGCATGGAATCCAGGGATTGCCAATAAATATTAACTAAATAAGACATAATTAACATAAATTTCCTTTAAAATAAAGTAAATTAAGATAGAAATAGAGCCCGGCCGGTGTTGCTCAGTGGATTAAGCATCATCCCATGGACTGAGAGGTCCCAGTTCGATTCCTGGTCAGGGCACATGCCCAGGTTTTGGGCTCGATCCCCAGGGGGAGCGTGCAAGAGGCAGCCAATTGATGTTTCTCTCTCACATCAATGTTTCTATCTCTCTCCCCACTCCTCTCTCTCTAAAATAAATAAATAAATAAATAAATAAAAACATATTTAAAAAAAAGAGAAACAGAGACAGTGGTTACTTTTATGAGGGTCATTCCCTGGAAGAGGGTACACAAGAAACTTTGGAGGAGATTAGTAATGTTTTGTTTCTTGATCTGAGTGCTAGTTACACAGGCGTTTCAGTCTATGAAATGCATCGAGCTATGTACAACTATGATCTGTGTGTACATTTCTATATACTTCAATTTAAAAGTTTAATTGATTTTTATGGGCGTAAACCTATTTCTAGGCTTACTTGTACTATTGGTCCTGTCTTTTAAAATGGATACAATTAAGACTTGGCAATATATATGCTAGTTTACCCAAAAAAAGAGATGGATTCCAATAGAAAGGTTATATTTCCTAAGTATTCAAAGTAAATGTTCTGATCTATGCCTCTAGATTTTAAAATTTTAATTATCTAATTAAAATGTTAACATTAATGTAGCATTAATGATCAGCAAACAGAGTATATATCATTCCCTTCTTTTCCACAAAACATTTAGTACAGCCCCTACCTCAGCTAACCCAGAAATGCCAGAGGATGGCAAAGAGAAAAAGTTGCAATTACCTCCAATGCCTATTCTGAAGACTATCCCAAATCATTTAAAACACAGCCCTATTACAGAAAAATCCTTAGCAACCTGTCATTAATATTCTCATATGATCCTTCAGAAACAAAAACAAGTAAATAAGACAGTGTTAGTTGAATAAAAGCAGCAAAGGGCAAAAAATAGCAATGCAGGCAAAAGTAAATAAAGTGTGTTACATTTACAGGTAAAAATGAAAAGTGACTATCCATTCACTAAATATCAGTTTACTGGCTATCTACTTTTATCAAAATTCAGAGACAGACACTGAGAAGATTTAATTAATTACGTTCACTTTACCCATTCCACAGATGAAAACAATGTGGCACACAGAAGTTCACTAACTTGCCCAAGGTCACATCCAGTAAGCAAAGGAGCAAAAGCAAAGGCTCACATATTACACTATGTTGCCTCCATGTAAAACTCCATCCTCCCTCCCCCTCTAGGAGTTTACAATAATGAGCATTAAGACACAGTGAATATTAGTAGTAAAACTAGTACTTAGAACTAAATGAGATCTTTTTAAAAAAGTAGTAAATAAGATCTTTTGCTTCAATAATTGATCTAACTATAAATTAAAAACTAAAGTGCCACCCTGGTCACTTTGGCTCAGGGATTAGAGCATTGGCCCTTGGACCAAACAGTCTCGAGTTTGATTCCTGGTCAAGGGCATGTACCTGGGTTGCAAGTTCGATTCCCAGCCCCAGTCAGGGTCATGAAGGAGGCAAGCAGTCAGTCGATGTCTCTCTCTCACATCAATGTTTCTCTCTCTTTTTTTTTGTGGTACGTGCCCCTAGCGGGAACCAAACCCAGGACTCTCTGGTCCACAGGCCAACGCTCAACCACTGAGCCAAACCCCTGGCTAGGGCTGTTTCTCTCTCTTCACCCCTGTTTCCACTGTCTAAAAATCAATGGAAAAATATCCCTGGGTAAGGATTAAAAAAGAACCTAAAGTGCCGAAGTATTCCTAATATACAGTCCTAGTATTTATTTTTTGAAAAAAGATAAGCTGCCCTGGCCAGGTGGCTTACTTGGTTGGAGTGTTGTCCGTACACCAAAAGGTTGTGTGTTTGATCCCTGGTTGGGGTACATACTGCAGGCAACAGATAGATGTTTCTCTTTCTCATCTCTCTCTTTCTCCACCCCCCTTCCTCTCTCTAAATTCAATAAACACAACCTTGGGTGAGGATTAAAAAAAAAAAGATAAGCTATAATGAGAATATCATCATTTTAATTTTAAGTAGTTTCCATTATTAGCCTTATGCGTATAGAATCTGTTCAGCTATTAGAAGAAAACATACAAACTGATGATCATACTGGAGCTGTCTCAGACAAATCTTGCAAGAATCATCAATATAGTAGTCACCTGAGCATATTCCAACACTATTTTCAAAGACACATCCATCGCATTTACATGTGAAAAACTAAGACTCAGGAAAAGTAAAAGAATTTGCCAGTGCATGATTATGGAGCAGGTAACACCAGTTCCAGAACCCAGGTCTTCTGATGCCCAGTCCAGGTCTTTTCCAGTTCACCCAGAGAAAGCTCAGGCTTCTACTGATGCTCTGAAGATCAAAATGCTATAAGGCGACCCTGCCTGGAAGAGCTGCTCTTTACATGGAGCTCAGTAGGAAGAAGATGCAGGCAACAGGGTGAAGCTAGGTCTTCAGTCAGGCCCGGTGAACAAACAAACATTGTTGGTACAAAGAAAGGAGCAGGCAAAGCCAAATTTGATTCTGGTCCAGTAACAGCTGAAAACAACTGATGAATCCGTGGAGAAGGCCAATGACCCCACTGTTAAAGCAGCATGGCAAAAGACACAAGTGGATTTGATAACATTCTTAGCAGTGCCCTGAGAACAAGAAAAGATAGTTGTTGGGAGTGAGGATCTTTCATTTGACCTGGATTGCAGAGGGAGGGGGAGTAGGGACGGAAGTAGATTTTGGTGTTTTCTCTCTCTGGCCACCTGCTAAAGATTTTCTGAGACTGACAAAGCATACTTGAATTTATTACCATCCATTTCCTTTTCCCCCAGACACCTGCTCAATCATATAAAGAAAAAAGAAATTCTTTCCTGATGGGCAACTACAATTTCTATTACATACAAAGAGATAAAAAAGAGACAATACAAATAATTTTGAAGCTTAGTGCTGTACAGAAAGGCCTAACCAGAAAACCTTCTATCCATCGTCACTTGAAAAAGTATCACAGGATCAATGTTTAGAATCATAAAATAAGTTTATTAAAAATCCCATTCAAGGAAGCCCTAACAGAAAGTACATTTCTGTCTTTCACCACATCCCAAGGTAACAACTAAACCTCAAACTTTTATAGCATGTTTACTTAATTACTGATACCATTTTCTTCACTCTCAGAGATAAATGTAAACAAAATTTGTACTTCACAGAAACAAACATCCTCACAGAGACGTCTTACCATGATCTTGTCAAGAGCAAAGGGCTTAAGGCTTGTTTTAATTATTTTAGCAACTTACTAGTTTCTCCTTCAGTTAGAAAACCACCAAAAGGTATGTTTTTTTTTTTCTCCTGCCTCCCCCCCAACCAAGTATTTTTTTTAAAGTATCTTTGGCCCTGGCCGGTTTGGCTCAGCGGTTAGAGCGTCGGCCTGTGGTCCGGAGAGACCCAGGTTCGGTTCCCGCTAAGGGCACGTACCTTGGTTGCAGTTTGTCCCCAGCCCTGGTTGGGTCGTGTGGGTGGCAACCACTCGATGTGTCGCTTTCATGTCGATGTTTCTCTCTCTCTCTCTCCCTCTCACTCTATCTGAACAAAATATTGAAAAATGTCCTCGGGTGAGGATAAAAAAATAAAAAATAAAAAAATAAAGTATCTTTGGCCTTGTTCGGTTTGGCTCAGTGGTTGGAGTGTCAGCCCTCTGGACCAAAAGAGTCACAGGTTTGATTCCAGTCAAGGGCACGTAGCTCAGTTGCGGTTTGGTCCCCGGCCCTAGTTGGGGTCGTGAGGAAGGCAACCAACCCATGTCTCTCTCACACTGATGTTTCTCTCTCTCTCTCCCTCCCACTCTGTCTGAAAATAAATGGAAAAATATCCTGGGTAAGGATTTAAAAAAAAAAAAAAAGTATCTTTGTACTATAATGCTAAGAAGTTGTCAAGTGTCAGATGAGCTTGTGATTTGTTCTTTTTCCACAAAAGTATTTTATCAGTCTTAATGTTACTTTGACAGCTTCTCCCTGGACGGGCAGCCCAAGTTCTGATTATATGGATGGGCTTGGAGAGCCTCTATTTGTTTTTAAAAGCTCACATCCAGACCTGACTGGTTTCACTCAGTGGCTAGAGCATCAGCCTGTGGATTGAAGGGTCGAGGTTCCATTCGTGTCCAGGTAAGGGTTGTGTGGGAGGCAACCATCAATGTGTCTCTCTCACATGGATGTTTTTCTCTCTCACTCCCCCGCTCCCTCCCTTCCACTCTATCTAAAAATCAATGGAAAAATATCCTCGGGTAAGGATTAACAAAAATAAAAAAATAGCTCTGGCCAGTTTGGCTCAGAGGTTAGAGTGTTGGCCTGAAGACCAAAGGGTCAAGGGTTCGATTCCCAATCAAGGGCACATAGCTGGGTTGCAGGTTCGATCCCTGGGCCATGCTGGAGACAACCAATCGATGTGTCTCTCACATCGGTGTTTCTCTCTCTCTCTCTCCCCTTCCCCGCTTCCACTCTGTCTAAAATCAATGGAAAAATATCCTCGGGTGAGAATTAAAATAAATAAATAGACAAACAACTAAATAAAACGTAAAAATAAATAAATAAAAATAAAAGCTCATATCCAATAATGAATGTAACCGATCTCCAAAATTTATAACAATAATTTGAAATTAATTAAAAATTTTAGAAATACATCCTGGAAAGACTCCTCTGAATTTTAAGAGACTAAGAGCAATGATTTCCCCAGCCCTACAAGACGTTTTGTGAAAGTGGTAGACCCTAAAAAGAGTAAGGATAGTGATATGGCCTATTTGGTGATTTTTTTTCCTCCTTGTATCCCACTCTATTTCTATGAACCATCTGTGGTAGATTAGATTATTATTTAGCAAATATTCACTTCCCCCACCGGCATTCCCAAGAAAAAAAATATACTTTCCCACTCAGTGATGCTGGGCTTGGCTCTGTGACTTGCTTTGGCCTCAAGCGGGTACAGTGTAGTATCCAACCCATGCCTTTGGGCACAATCACATGACTTGCTTTGGTCAATGAGATCTTAGCAGATGTGGCACAAGCAGACACTTAATCTGTGCTTGTGTAGCAGGTAAGCCTTGCCTTCTTGGACTTCTGTTGGACTTCTGTTGTTGCCTTGAGAAGAGCTTACCCTGGGTAGGCACAGTCCCTTCAGCCTAGCCCCAAAATAAGACATGCAAAGCAAAACTGCCCTAGCTGATCCACAGACCTACACCTTGAAGCAGAGTCCTGAGTGCTCTAATGCACTGGATTTTGGGGAATTATGTTATATAGCTATCATAGTTGTTTTTAAATAATAATGGTTATGTAGACTCAGGCGATGCAATGAAAATTAACAGACTTACAAAAATCCAGAATCCTTTATCTGAAACCCTTAGAATTAAATGTGTTTAGAACTCTTTTTTTTTTTTTTTAGATTTTATAAAGGTAATATAATGCAAATACCATATATACATGTATTTTTTTTCATTAATTTTTAGATAAGAGTGGAAGGGAGGGCGTGTGGATAGAGAGAGAGAGAAACATTGATGTGAGAAAGTCACATCAATTGGTTGCCTCCTGCATAACCCAGATCGGGGATTGAACCTGCAACCCAGGTATATCCCCTTGACCAGGAATAGAACCCCCAACCCTTGGGTCTGCATGGCCGACACTCTAACCGCTGAGCCAAACCAGCCAGGGCAAACATCATATGTTTTATAATGCTCCCTCAGGATCTTAGAACCACAAAATCAAACACATTAATAAATATGTAGTGAAACATATAAGTAATCTTACATTACATAAATAGATTCAGGTTAGATTTCTGCTGTCAAATGAATTATGAGAAGCCTTTCAGTTTTTTCAGGGGCTTTTGGATTTCAGAATTGTAGATATGGAACTGTATTATCAATATTTGTATAATTACAAAGAATCTTCCCCCACCCCCCAAAAAAGCCATTTAATTTCAATAACTCTACATAGAAGATATAATTACCCTGAGTCACTGTCTCAAATTCACTGTGGAAATGGGGAGAATACAACTTATCTTTTTTTGTTTTGTTTTGCTTTGTTAATCCTCACTCCAGGATATTTTTCCATTGACTTTTTTAGATAGAGTAGAAGGGAGGGAAGAGGAGGGGGTAAGAGGAAGAGAGAAAGGGAGGAATAGAGGGAAACAGAGGGTGAGGGAGGGAGAGAGAGAGAGATACATTGATGTTACAGGGACACATGGATTGGCTTCCTCCTGCTTGACCCTCACCAGGGCCAGGGATAGAGCTTGCAACCCAGGTATGTCCCTTCACCAAGAATCAAATCAGAGACCCTTCGGTCCAAGGGCCAAAGCTCTAACTTCTGAGTCAAATCGACCAGGGCACAACTCATCTTTAATGAAGGGAAAAAAAAGTCTACTTACATCTAATTAATTTGTAAATCATTGGCTATATATTTAGCAATGTTTGCATTCTCTCTTTTGCTTTATTTAGATCAACTTAAGACATTTAAGTAACTGTGAAGACCGATCATTATACCCTTTAATCAACACTTAACTGGGTTTCTTCTACATACCCAGACACTGTGATAGGTGCTGGGGATGCTATTGAATCAGATAATGCCTCTGTTTACTTAAAGAGCTTACTATCTATAGGCAAAGGCAGATAAGTATCTTTTTATATTAAATTACTGTTGAAATAAAAATATTTTACATGTAATGAATTACATAAAATACATTATTAAAATTAATTTTACCCATTTCTACCTTAAAAACTTAGTAGCAAATTTAAAATTAACATCTGCAGCTCACATATTTTTATTGGATAGTGGTGCTCTAAATCTTCAGTTCTTTCTGCTATACCAGGCCTAATATTGAAAATTCCTGACAACCCTTTCCTTCCTGGAGCTTCCCTCTCTTCCTCAGCTTTTGTGACACTGCACTATAGAGGTTTTCCTCCCACTACTCCATTCTCCTCAGCTAGTTGGTTTCTCACTCTTTTTCCACCCCCCCTCAGTATGTGTTCCTGAGGGTCTGCCTGGGTCTCCTGTTCCCTTCCTTTCCTTAGGTGTCTCATTCACTGCTTCAACATCATCTGGCAAGTCTATTTAAGTGACTCCAGGCCTGTCCAAAGGACATTTTTACCTACTGGCTTCAAAGTGATACTTCCAAACCACTTCCTCCTCATCTTCCTCTCTAGAATAGTTCTTTGTTCCTAACTTCCTTATTTTTGCAATCATCTTCCCCAAGCCCCAAACTTCACACTTTATTCTTTGCTCCTCAATTGGTTGCCATGTCCTATTCATGTTTTTCCTCCTTTCTAAGCTTCTGCCACCACCAGAAGATCAAATTCTCAGTATACCTCATTTGAGTATGTAGTCACGTCAATTCTCTTATCCATTCTAGCCACAACTACCAGATTAATGTGCATAAAGCAAAGTTCTGACCACAACAGTGTCACACTTTCAAATCACCTTCCAAATCTGCCTGGCATCTAGCAAATGAAGGAGAAGCAGTATTAAGGGTCTTTGAAAGGTTTTTCAGAACATATCCGAAAGAGGTCTCTCCCTACATTCTGAGACAATAGTGGGAGAGCACTGGCAAAGGGAACCTGGATTTGAGAGGGAGGAAGAGAACCACCTAAGTTTTGGTAACAGACAAATGTTATATCTTTCCTGCTAGGATGATTCTGAGACCAACTCCAATTCTCAGGTTCTCCACAAATGGAAATCCATGCAGCAGTCTAGGACTAACAGCAGCCAGTAACATAAAACCCAGTAAGTAAATGTTGTCCACTCAGAGGAAAGTATACCCAGAACTGTTGGAACTGTCTACCCAAGACTCAAAAGAAGAATGGAAAACCAGATGGTAGATAGTATCTCTACCATCTCGTTATTTAATTTTGGGTGGGGGCAGGTGGGGAAGAATCCATGCACTAAATAAATAGGCTGCTTTCTTCACTGTTCAGGGGTTGTTATTAAATGTGGGTGGGGTGGGGCTTAAGTTGGTTGAATTCTGCAAATGAATTAAGCAGAACTGAAATAGGTTTTGCAGTTGGTTGAAATTAGCCAAATACAACAGGCTCCAATCCACTTTCCTGTTTCACCTTCCTTCACAACAGTCATGTAATGTTCGGACAGGATCATCGGACACATAAGATCCAGAGGGCCCCTGTTTGTACTACACTCTATGATTATGATGTCCTCCTCGATAGTTCCAAGGGTGAAAACCTTTCCATTGCAAATAACAAGATTCCCTTAAGCAGATGGGGAATGTTGTGACCTTTATAGTGTGCTCTGCCATATAGTTATTTGCACACTATGCCAATCTCCCACAGTAAACCTTGAATACTTTATTCATCTTGTTCAAAGCTGGCAAGAGATGCTTTAAAATGTATAATTAAATTACTTTCCTACATAAGAAAAGAATCGAGCGGGGAGAAAATAAGACACATGCAAAGCATCGGACACACACGCCTTGCAACAGTTCCGATCAAGGCAAACGCACCAGACCCTGTTTTCCGCCTCAAATGTGAGATAGAAGGCACTTAGCCCCGAGTGCCACTCGCTTCCCCGGGACAAGGACACACTCAGCATGAGGAGTGGAGTTTCACCAGTTGCTCAACCAGGCTCGGCGCAACGCGCTTCCTCTTTCTCCTGCTCCGCTCCAGTCAAGGCGGCCAATCCGGGCCCACGACACCTGCCCTGAGATATCTTCGGCTAACCAGCACTTCCGGACCCAGGCTCCACAGGGTGCTCTTCACCCGGGCAGCACGCCTCGCCCGAAACCCGAGAAACAGGCAGCCCCTACTTATTCCCCACAAGGGGTTCCAGTGTCCCCGCCCCGCCGCGCCCCGCTCATCCTCGAGGACGCCGGCTCGGCGGCCCGGAAGGCGACAAAGGGCCGAGCCCGCGGCCGACCATGTCGACACTGGATGAGGGGCGCTTTACTCTCTCCCCGGACTCCCCGTCACGCACCTACTCCCTCTTCGCCGCCACCGCCTACGACTGCCCACAGTCGAAGTTCCTTCGCGAGAACGGCTGTTTTGTTTCCGATGTGAAATCTCGGCCTCAGGAGCCGCCTGGCGCAGGCCCCGCCCCCAAGGCTGCACTGCTGTCGTCATTTCCGGCTCTGGCGTCGTTGGCGGCCGGCCCGCGGCAGGAGGGGCGGGGCCCAGAGAGGCGCGGCGGGGCCGAGAGGGAAGGAGTGCAGCTTGCCGATGGTGCGCGCGGGTTGTGAGGGAAGCCCTCCACTCCAGCTGGCCTCGGACCTGGACGAACCCGCCAAAATGAGCTTTGAGGTTGTCAGGGATCCGAGACAGGTTTTGAGCCGGACCAAAATTTCTACTGAGCCCAGCGTGTGCTTCTCTCAGCCAACAAGTTATTGCATCTTAAACCGAACGTTTCTTTCATTTCTCAGTACGTATTACCTATTTGTAGTGTTTCTCAATATGTATCAGCTGCACCACAATCGGGTATGCTAATAAAATCGCAAATACCTGTGCCCTCTGCCCCCTGACTCAGTGAATCAAAACTTCTGGCGGATGAAGCGAACCTGATAAACTGCATTTTAAACAAACATCGTTTAGAATTCTTGGTCTCCTAAATGATAAGCTTCCAGGAGGAAATTTCTTATTTTTGTAATCCCAAAACCAGAGTATCTGGCACACAATTAGTTGCTCAATGGTCACCTACCACTCTGTGCAGGAGAATCTAAGTCATTGACCCAACTAATGTGTGAGGTGGTAGACTTGGGAGTGTCATTTAATTCAAACAACATACGGCTTGAGAAGAATTTTTATTCATTTTTGTTTATAGAAATTATCTTTCCTTCCTGTGCATTTTTTATGGCCATTCCTAATTTGGCCTTCATATGAGTCAGGTAATAAAATTAAAGGTAAAGATCTGTCAAATAACGATGAAAATATAAACCTTCAAATGCAAATAAACATTTCAGTAATTTAACATAAAAAAAAACAACTACCAGTTTACCAAAAATTATATGCTTGCTTTGGTCCACAGTATGAATGTAACAGTAACAGTTCCTGGGTTTGAAATACATGTGAACCTCCCAGTTTTCTTGTCAATACCTAGACTGCCTATTTTGGATTCCTTCTCATAATCCTTTATATCCAATAACATTCACAAATCAATTTTACCATCTTTTGCTGAGCAAAAACTATTTCTCAACTTCATACTATTAATAGAAGGCTTAAGTATGATCTGGAAAAATTTGGAAGCATTTTGACATAAAACATCTCCACAGTTTCTGGACAGAACATTCATAGAACTCATTAGATAGAGCGGGGTAAGTCTGTCTCATATACACAGAAGTATACCTGCTTACATTTGCATTAAAAAAATTTTTTTTTCTTTTTTTTTTTTTATCCTCACCCGAGGACATTTTTCCATTTTTTGTTCAGGTAGAGTGGGAGGGAGGGAGAGGAAGAGAGAGAGAGAAACATCGATGTGAAGGGACACATCGAGTGGCTGCCACCTCGAGTGGCTGCCACCCGGACGACCAACCAGGGCCGGGGACAAACTGCATCCGAGGTACGTGCCCTTAGCGGGAACCGAACCCGGGTCTCTCTGGACCACAGGCCGACTCTCCAACCGCTGAGCCAAACCGGCCAGGGCATTAAAAATTTTCTTTAACTTCATATGAAAGGGGAAAAAAAAGTGTTTAGTCCAATTGGACTCTCAAGCTCAGTTTTCTTACTTTGTCCATCACATCTAATATTTGTGCCCCATGAACACCTGAAACAGCACTCTCCACAAAGTAATCGTTGTTAGCCTCTACAATTACAGCAAATTTATCAGAAAGCACTATGACAAAGATTCAGACTAATAACATAAAGTTCTCTAAGGAAGAAATCTCCTGGGACTGGCTAGGTACAAAGCCTGTAACATTCAAGTTGTTCTCAGGGATTATTTTTGGATGATTATATTCATGAACATACAGAATAGATATCTGTTTATTTGCCTCAAAAATGTTTTTCTCCTAAAAATATACTTAAAAAGAAAGTTAAGCTTCATTTATGTTCTGTTAGGATAAAAATACTATTATAGATACCTTAAACTGCTAATCAAGTATAGTCCTTGGATCAGTTAACATTGGCATCAGCATCATCTACCTCAGGCCCCACCCTAGCACCACTAAACCAGAGTCTGCATTTTAACTAGATTCCTTAAGTGATTTTGGTGCACATTCAAGTTTGATTAAAAAAAAAAAACTTAAAATAACTTATCTTTCCTCCTGTAAACAGATATACCTATTTTACATTATTTATAGTGTCAAATGAGGAAAAAGCATATTGGTTTTCTAGCTGCTGAACTTTCATATCATTTTATAACTTGAATGGCCAATATGGATTAAGCAAGGTTTCCAAACTGAAATTAAATTATGGGCAAATGGTAAAAACCCAGACAGCTCAAGTAATTTAGTAGGAATTTTATGTGTATTCTCCCAAACACTACAATACCCCATTATGTGTGCAATTTATATGTAAATCTAAAAAACAAGAAACTCTGAAAACCGTATAAATTTGGTGGCAAAACCTGACTTGAACTGACACCAAGCTGTTAATGTAATGATTTTTAACCCAATGACTGTGATCGATCATTCCCACTCAGAAATGTTAATGTATGAACTTGGATTCTGAGGCAAATCTCTCTGGAGGTGTTTTGCAGTACATGGTATGTTTCCCCACGGGTTTCAGATATGGGCCCTTTTAGAAAAATACAGAGGAAGAGCAGGAACAAGGGAAATTAATGCCAATGTTGACTAAAAATGACTTAATACGATGCCTTAGAAGTAGTAACATGGTAAGAGAAGACTGGCAAAATAAGGCTCGAACAAGGTGTTCGGCTGAGGGTCAACATGAGAAAAGGCTAGTAAATGAATCTGTAAATGTCAAGGAGCATGTTTCTGAAATTTCCCATGAGAAACCAGAATTTAAAATATTATAACACTAAAAGGGGATTTATCTCCATAGACATACAGATGAACCCAAAATGAGGTAAATGGCCTCTTTGACCTTTAGTTAACTAATACTCAGAGAAATCAATTCAGCCCATTATTTTCAAGTTTCTAGTATGCACCGCACAGTTACAACATGCCACTTATTAATAATTCTCTGAAAGAATGAGTCTCCGAGATCAAATATATACATTTTTAATATTTGAAATATTTACATAATGGAACCATGTCATGGGGTCCAATGTTAAGAACAGTGTTTCCAAATGTCCTCTTAAGATGTAAAAAAATCTAGTTAACTCAACCTCAGTTATGCTTTATCTTCCTATTCCCAATCTTTATCTTTCTTTTAAATAAATACTCAGACATGAATAGCTGCACCTACTTTAAGAACTGTTTAAAACTTGTTACATTTTCAGTTAATTTTGCTCCCTGATGAAGTTCTGATCTACAATAAAGAAAGCCCCATGTGTGTTTCTTAACACCATCAATGTATTTTTAAACTTTGAGGAGCAGAGGTAAACAAGGTGTGTGCTTGCATATACACACAAGCTTTACAAAATAAAAATGAAAACAAAAAATTAGTGGTAACCGCCTTAAATGATTTACTTTATCCTTAAAAATAAGATGTAAACTTTTGTAAAACATCATGCTGAAATTCTACTGTATTTTGTCAAACTTTCTTAGTCTGTAAAATTGCCTAATTTTATCTTTTGTTTTTAAAAGGTTTTTTCATTTTTGCGTTTTGAATTTTTTTAAACAAAGGGGTACACCAAAATTAAACTGACCAATCAGTGCAAAAATGCATTAAATAAAGCTCTCCAGAATCTAAGGATCTGCCTCATTTCTGAACAATAAAATTAGGGAGCAGGGGAACCACTGATTCACACTCCCTTACAAGAGAGGCCGAAGCAGCCAGCTATCAACAGGAAAACCTCATTCTGTTTAATAGATTTGTTTGTTTCTTGCCATAAGAGAGTATCATGCTCTGGGAGACTATTAACCTAATTATCCCAGACATTTGGATTGGCACAATACCATATTTCCTTTACAATTATAGTTTTCAATTAGAAAATGTTTAAGGGAGCCCTCCAAAGCAAATCAGGGAAAATACGTTTTTATCATACATTCACACAAACACATTCATACAGAGATAAAATAGGGATGGACGGCCTGCTAGTTTTTACACTCTAATTTTAAATTTTAAATTTTATGCCTTTATGTAAGTTTGCCAATTCTGATCAAGGGGGGAAGGGTAACAGATGTGGCTGGTACTCTTTCAATTAAAATTGTTCATGTTGGTTCCTATATAGTACAGTTCAATATTAAGTGCAATTCTGCAAAAGAATTAGGGAGTCATTTTAATATTTACAAGGAACAAATCAGCAGAACAAGATTATATCAGATAGGCTGTATACAGTAGCTGTGGCTTATAAAACATACCAGTAATTTGTACCTGGTGAGTATAAAGAGAACCAAGGTAGCATTTAGATGTCTTTACAACCAAGGGAGTACACAGGGCATCAACAAATTGGAGGACAAAAAAAAAAAAATTCACATTTTCTACATTAAAAAAAATTACAGATCTCACAACTGTCTCTGAAGACAAAAAAAATTTTCAAAGTCCTTTGAAGGATGAGAAAGAAGATATCTGAAATGGAACTCTAAATGTAGAGAGAGTTTTACTTCACAAGACCAATTTTTTTGGCTTCTGTTTCATATATCAATAATCTCCACATTTTGACTATAAAAACTTCGGCTTCTTCATCAAGTACCTAGAAGAAAAAAAGAAAAAAACAGTAACATATGTAAGATAAGCAACCAGCATCTCCCAACAATTGTGACTGGTATAAAAAGGACTTTTATCTACTGACAAGCACTTACTTTCAATAAAATGACCTGAAAGAAATCTGTCTAGTGTGAGAAATGTATTAAGTAGTACATGTAAATTACATTAAAAAAAAGCATTCAGCAAAATTCCACAGTTTACTGAAAACTGACACCACAGTACTTTCTTTTTTTTTTATCCTCACCCGAGGACATTTTTCCATTTACTGTTCAGACAGAGTGGGAGGGAGAGAGAGGAAGAGAGAGAGAGAAACATCAATGTGAAAGGGGCACATCGATTGGCTGCCACTCGCACGACCCAACCAGGGCCGGGGACAAACTGCAACCAAGATACATGCCCTTAGTGGGAACCAAACCCAGGTCTCTCTGGACTGCAGGCTGACGCTCTAACTGCTGAGCCAAACTGGCCAGGGCCACAGTACTTTCTTGATGCAACTTTTATTCTAACTTTTATCTTTACAAATACTACATTTATACATGTTTTGAAAAACTATATCCTAACGAATAATTTTGTTAGAGTATCATGTTTACCATCCACCAAAACAACCTTACAATCTTAGTATTTATGGAGTCTTAAAATTTATGTATGTGACACTGAATTAAATATTATATGAGAATATATGTAAAGCATTAAATAGAGTGTCTGAGATACAGTAAATAAAGTAAAGTGAACACTGTCATCACTGCAAAGGAACACACTACTAAATAAATGGTTGTATCCCTTGCAAATGAACAAATCAAATTATCTTCCTATCTACGTATAAGTTAGGTGCATCATGTCCTCACCACTACCCCTGTTCTCATCTCACACACACACAGCCAGCCCTCTGTATCAGAGCTGCAGTGAGTTAAAATGGAATATCATGCTTCTTTCGTCAGGAAGCAGCTATTACTAAATTTCAGGGTATCACTGCCATGATTTGAGGCCTAATGTTACCAGTTTAGGTTAGGAGTTAAGCAAACCAGATCTCTAGCTAAACTACTTATGTTCAAATACCACTTCTACCTCTTACTAGTTACATGCCCTTGGTTGAGTTACATAACCACAAACTGCTTCTCAGTTTTATCATCTGTAAAATGAAGGAAACAGTACCTACATCATAGCGGTTCATAATTTAAAATTCAAGTATGTTTTCGTTTTTTTTTTGGTACGTGCCTCTAGCAGGAACCAAACCCGGGACTCTCTGGTCCGCTGGCCAATGCTCCAACCGCTGAGCCAAACCGGGCAGGGCTGTATAAAGTGCTTTGAAGAGTACCTAATACCTATGTAATCAATCAGTAAGTATCTAAAAGCAGCCATAAATTTTGACTTTTGAAAAAATTTCCTAAATTTATTGATGACTAAGAACTTTTCACCAAACTTTTATGAGCCAGACCTGACCAGAAAGCAGTTCAAGAGAACTATGCTGCAACTCTAATATGGAAACCATACCATAGAAATACAGATAGAGGCACAAAATGCAAACAAAGTTCATTAATTTATATAAAATGAGGAAAGGCACAATTTGAAAAAGTCCTATTTTTAATAAGAGCAAATACTACTTGAGCTAAAAATTCAACCTCATTTATACCAGAAATATTTAGAGGGTCCATGAGCTTATACCAAAACTGGCTGACAACACTAGCTCATTGGTTTCCTTCCTTCCTGTGATAAACAATGAGCCAGAAAAGAATCAAAACCATATAAGTGGTTAAGCAGTAAAGAGTCTAGGAATACTTCAAATATAAAAATATTTCAAAAGATCAAATTAATTAACACTGACACAAGGCATCTTCACTGACAGTGATTATAACTGTATGAAGAACAAAATCTATAACAGACTTTTAAAAAAATTCCTTAACTCAAGCCCAAGTATGAAAGCCTCTCTCTATCCCAAGGAAAACCTTTTAAACAGGGTGGAAGGTCACGGAATTTCAGATTCTATTCCCAATGATTGGGATCTACTCACATGTCTCCTTTCATAAGACTCAGCATTATAGAGCCAACAAACATTTCACAAATGTTTTATCCAGAAATCTAAACAGACCCCCTGATCTGGCTGGGCAGCAGAAAATGTCCTCTGGGTTTAGACATCATATAGTACCTGGACACGAACCAGCTCAATCTTAGGGCTTCTTTAGGTCAGGCACCTCACTATATCCCACCCTGACAACTTTGCAGCTCAAACATTGCAGTTCCCCCAGTCACCTTTCTTCTTATATAATATTAGATTTTTTTCTTCCTCCCTGACTCTTCTTCCAATTGCTACCTTCCCACTCTGTCCTGTGGACCCCTGCACTTTTTATACTAACTGTACCTATACTCAACTACTTTCATTGACACATCCCCTAATCCTGACACTCCAATAGCCTTTTCAGAAAGTTCCTCACTTTCAAATCATTAGTCTCCCCAGGAGAGGGGAAGCTACTGGTTCTTTACTGATTTCATCCTTGTAAACAGTATCTCTATTCAGGTTCATGAGATTACACTATACCACCCCTATACCCCAATAGCAGCTGTCTAGCAAATGCCTAGTCTTTCACCCATCAGATGAAAGAAGCAATCTGGCAACTGATTCCCATTATTTCCCTCCAATCCCAATCCTAATATGCAGTAATTTCAATTTCTAGTTGTATAACCCAGGCTTAAAGTTTGTCAAAATCATTTTAAAAAATGACATCAGCCCTGGCCCATTTTCTCAGTGGTTAGAGCATCAGGCCATGGACCAAAGGGTCGCAGGCTCCATTCCCAGTCAAGGTCAAGGGCAGGTACCTGGGTTGCAGGTTTGATCCCTGGCCCTGGGGCCATGTGGGAAGCAACTAATTGAGTGTCTCTCTCATATGGATGTCCCCCTCTCTCTTGCCCCCTTCCATTTCCCTCCCATTCCAATCTTAAAAAAAAAAAAAATTAATGGAGAAATATCCTCAGGTGATGATTAACCCCCGCCACCCAAAAAGACATCATGTCCAGCCAGTGTGGCTCAGTGGCTAAGCGTCACCCCATGGACCAAGTGTTCGCCAGTCTGATTCCCAAGTTGGCACATGCCCAGGTTGTGGGCTTGATCCTCAGTAGAGGGCGTGCAAAAGGCAACCAACTGATGTTTTTCTCCCTTCCTCTCTAAAAATCAATAAAAAGATATTAAAAAAAAAAAAATAGATATCACTCTGTCCTGCTCTAGCAGCTCAATTGGTTGGAACTTCATCCCACATATTGAAAGGTTGTAAGTTTGATTCCTGGTCAGGACACACACCTAGGTTTTGAGTTTGTTTCCCAGTCAAGGAGCATGCGGAAATCAATGCCTGCCTGCCTGCCTGTCTCTTTCTCTCTCTCAAAAACCAAACAAAAAACCCCCACAAAATAATGTCCTCAAGTAAGCTTTTAAAAAATAAAAAAGAGAAACATCTGTAACCAAAAAAATTTAATTAAAAAAAAAAAGACATCACTCTGCCCCCCCCCCCCCATCTGTCCCATAGCCATATTTGCCATTATCTGGACTGATCTACCACTTGTATTTTTAAACATTCTACTCTCTGACTGTAACTCCTCAATCCAGTTGTTTCATTCCAACACAATTTCCACAACTTCATTGGTCCCACAAGTACTGATTCAAACTACCAGCCCTATTCCAATAGTATTTCCTTCTCTTTTCTTGAGGTTCATAATCCATTCAACAATCACTCTTTCACCTTACCATCAATACTCTTCCTCCTTCTTCTTCTCAAAAAATCACAATGTTAGATAAATGCAACCACTGACTATACTGTAATACCCAAATTAAATGCAATTTGGAATTTGATGTTTGACCACTTCCAACCCAACATTACCTGTTCAAATGACAACACAGTTGTACAATCTTCAAGTCTCAATTTAGATGGTAATTCCTGTGATGCTTTCCATACCTACTCTCAATACCAGGAGATGCTCTATCTCCTCTGCCCCTTTCCACATATTCCCATTATAGCAAGTATATTATATTTGGATATCAATATTGGTACACCTGTCTCCCTGATAGTTCAAGGGCAGCTATCCCACATTATTCTTCTTCTAACACATTACTTTACCCAGTAAGCACTTAATAAATGTTCTCTAAATGTAGTGATAGGTCTAGGACCCACACAAACACAAAAGGTAGAAGAGGAGAGAGACTAGTCAAACCTTGCTGCGGGTGCCTTTATCCTCTTTTAATATATAGTCCAATTTTAATTCAAAGTTATAAAAAGATTCTGGAACCAAATTAGAAAATCAATTAAACTCAGAAGTTAAGTTGTTCAAATAGATATTAATAACAGCCCTAACCAGGTAACTCAGAGTATTGTACCGATACACCAAGGTTGAGGGTTCGATCAGGGCACATACAAGAATCAACAAATAGCCCTGACTGGTTTGGCTCGGCGGTTAGAGCATTGGCCTGCAGACCAGAGAGTCCCAGGTTTGGTTCCTGCTAAGGCACATACTTCAGTTGCAGTTTGTCCCTGCCCTGGTTGGGGTTGTGTGAGTGGCAGCCAGTTGATGTGTCTTTCTCACATCGATGTTTCTCTCTCTCTCTTCCTCCCTCTCTACTTCACGCTCTAGCTGAAGATAAATGCAAAAAATGTCCTTGGGTGAGGATTAAAAAAAAAAGAATGAACAAATAAATGCATAAATAAGTAAAACAAATTGATGTCTCTCTCACAAATCAATAAATTAAAAAATGTATTAGGCCCAGGAAAGTGTTGTTCTGTGGTTAGAGTGTCAGCCCAAGAACAGAAGGGTAACGGGCTCAATTCCCATTCAAGAGAATACACCTGGATTGCAGGTTCAGTCCCTGGTCCAGTTGGGGTGTATGTGGGAGGCAACCAATAGCTGTATGACTCTCATATCAATGTTTCTCTCGGGTGCATGAGCTCTCTCTCTTTCTCTTTTCCTCCCTTCGTTCATCTGTCCCTTCCACTCTCTCTAAAAGTTAACAGAAGCCCTGGCTAGTTTTGCCCAGTGGTTAGAGCATCAGCCCTAGGACGAAGGGGTCACAGGTTTGATTCCCAGTCAAGGGCATGTATCTAGGTTGCAGGTTTGATCCAAGGGTCTGACCAGGGTTATGTGGGAGGTGACCAATCGATGTGCCTCTCTCATATCGATGTTTCTCTATCTCTCCCTCCCTCCCTTCTACTCTATCTGAAAATCAATGGCGCGTATCCTTGGGTGAGGATGTAACAACAACAAATTTAAATAAATAAATAAATAAATAAATAAAAGGTCAATGGAAAAAATATTCTCAGGTGAAAATTAACAAAGAAGAAAAAAAGTATTAATAACAATGATTTCTAACTTACCATGGCAACGTCATCTAAAATGCTCTGAGGTGAACTATGAGCCATTACCTAAAAGAAATAAATAATTGTCATTTTGAAAATAAAAAACAAACAAAAAAGCAAGACAGTCAAGTTAGTATGGAAATTTATTTTGGCTGAAGAATCTTTCTATAAATTCTTTTAATTCCCACCCTGGCCAGTTTTGCTCAATGGTTGGAGCATCAGCCTGAGAACAAGAGAGTCCCGGGTTTGGTTCCTGCTAGGGGTATGTACCAAAAAAAACACAAAACAAATAAATAAACAAAAAGATAAATTCTTTTAATTCCCCAAATCCCATTCTCTTCAATGAAATTTTGACACAATAACCTGAGATCTTAATCTCTATAGTATCTGTTTTCTAATTCAAATCCAAACTTACAAGTTTTAATGTTACAGTAATTACAAGTATAAAGGGCAACCTAAATCTGCTACTCCTAATGTTAAAATAGGGAGAAAAATAGCATTTCTTTAGATGTAATTAGTTTACAAAAATGCAGCACTTCTGCTGTAATAACTGTTTTATTGGAATAATATTTGTAACTTAACATTTTCTAAGGTAGTCGGGGGGTTTCAAGAAGATATGGTTATATAAAATGCTTAACACAGTAAAGCCCAGCACACAGTAATCAATCAATAAATGTTATGCTGTGAAGAAAACTATTTTGCTCCTCCTCCTCCTCCAAAGGATGGATGACAAAGAAACTAGTGACACAAGCTATCAGCCGTCTCCAGAAAACCGCCTCAACTATACTTCAGCACCATTCTAACCATTAAAACAAGAAGGGGGTGGTAAGACATTCTCAGGGGCAAGGTGAGTGCAAAATTGGCAACAGCCAGTATTTCTATCTTCTATGATCCTCTGACGGGAGAGCATGAGGCATGGAGGTCACAGGGTGGAGGGATTCATTTAGCCATGAATCTCTTAATTAAAACTGAACTATCAGGGACTTGGCCCTGCAAGATATTTAATTTTAGAAAGTGTCTAATATTTTAAATTATGAAACAAATGTTGGGGGTGGAGGGAGAAAAAGACTAACCTTAGAACAAACAAAATCAACTAATGTAGCTTCTTCTTCACCTATGTATTCTATAATTTTCTTATTAATCCATGGTCTAATTCGTCGTTCCATCAATATCTGCAAAATAAAGTACTAAAGTTACTAAATTTACAAGATTTTTTTATTACACTTACAAAAAAGTCTATAAAATTGTAATTTGTTGTAATACTAAACTATAATCTTTCACAACTATGAGTTCAAGATATATTTGCTTCTAATTTATGAAGACTGCAAATACCACCACCAATTTACCCAATAATCTACTAAATTCTCAGCAACGACAAGATTCCAGCCACATCATCACTTCTTGTTAATAGCATCAACTGAGTTTGTATGCTTTATTCAAAACCACTTACAATAAAATGATGAAATTCAATTTACTACTCACAGCATCCACAATAGACCAATCCAGGGGATAAGCAAAGAGCTCAGGTTTGGCGGTAGGAATTTTCTCAATGAGACTCTTAATGTGTTTGCGCTTTTCTTCAGTGTTTACGGTGCCTTTGGCAGCATTTTTGTCATCTTCACCATAATCCAAGGGAACCAGTTTCCTTTTTCGGGGTACATCATCACTGTCTTCATCCTCAAATTTGTTAAAGACACTATCTACAGGAAGTTTCTTTCTCTTCACAGAATTAGGTTGACCAGGACTATTGGAAGCACCTATAGTAAAAACACTATGTTAGCATGATGACTTAACTTTCAAACGTTACATTTTACAACCCACCATCCCCTCAAAAAAACAGTGCAAAATATACTTCCACATATCTCAGAGAAAGATCCCAACTATAAAAAATAACTCACTACTCACAAGTGCTAGAAAATTTAACTTTCACTTCTTCTCAGAACTCGAGGCAGCTGCAGATATAGGAGCACTAGTAGAACTATGAAAACAATAGTGAGCTAGAAAGGCATTTTCGAATATTTTTCTATCTACCTACCAAGCAGCACATATTTATTTTTTCCTTAAGGTAAACTTCAGGTGTTTGCAGAGGGAAAAATAAAGAACAAAGGAAGGAAATGCTAACATACCCAGTTTAAGACTTAGTCCTATTTTGGGCCTATGCTCTTCAGGTTGTTGTTGATCTGGCGAATTTTCATGAGGAATAATAATACCACAGGGAGACTCATCCCCAGGAGTGTTGGGGGTTGCATTGCCACTGGCAGAGGAAACAGATGGGGCAGAACTGATGGGCCTTAGAGTTGGTTTGAGACAGGGCTTCTGCTCTGGTTCTTCTTCCTCTTCCACGGGTTCCTCTCGTTTTTCTTCTTTTTCTTGCTTTTCTTCTTCCTCTTCCTCCGATTCTGGTTCTTGTTTTATTTGTGGCTGTCTGCGTCTCTCAGCCTCTTGTTCCATCTAAAACAAAAATAATCTAATTATTTCAGACTATAACTATACTCGGTTCAACTGGCTTTTTGTTTTACATTATCTTTACAAAAATCTCTATTTTTCTTTTTCATTAGGAATAATGAAAAACACTGCCTGCTTCCATAATCAGAAAGCTGAGTAAATCTGTAAAGTACGTTAAGTATTCTGTAAAGTTTAAAAATATTTTACATATATTACCATTCGTCAGTGGCTCGTATAAACTATTCACATTAACAAATGTAAATACGTAATAAATAGTTGGCTGATTCAAAATGAAAAAGTATGTTTTTATATATTATTTTAAGATATTATAACCAAAACCCTGGCTAGGTAGGCTCAGTTGGTTGGACCGTCATCCCATACACCAAAAAGGTAGCGGGTTCAAACCTCTAGTCGGGGGCATGTGTGGGAAGCAACCACAATCAATACTTCTTTCTCACATGGATGTTCCTCTCTCCCACTCTCTCTCAACCTTTCTCTTTAAAAAAAATCAGTAAAATCATGTCCTCAAGGTGAGGATTAAAAAATAAATAAATAAATAGATTCGAAGATGGAGTCCTCCAGAGTGAACAGGCCAGCCACAGTGGCTGGGAAAAGTGAATTTCATAACCAGAAGTTGAAGCTGGAGAACCAAGATTAATCAGGACTCCTCACTGTACCTGATGGTTGAAAAAAACCAGCTTTTTCCAAAGACGACAATCCCAGAGGACTCTTGTAGGAGAGCAGTTTTTGCAACTTTGTTCCCAAAATAGAGAGGCTTACTTGAAAGAGTGCTGGCCGTTGATACAGAAAGCCTTGAATGAACATGCACTGAAACTCTTAAACATACAGTATGGTTCAGGACCATACTGTACACTGGACCTTTCACTGTCTTAAAAGAGGTTCAGCCCTAGCTGGTTGTGCTCAGTGGTTAGAGCATTGGCCTGCGGACTGAAGAGTCCTGGGTTCGATCCGCCCAAGGGCGCGTACCTTGATTGCAGTTTGTCCCTGGCCCTGGTTGGGGTCCTGCGGGCAGCTACCAATCGATGTGTCTCTCTCGCATTGATGTTTCTCTCTCTCTCTCTTCCTCCCTTTCTTTTTCCCTCCCACTCTATCTGGAGCTAAATGTTGAAATATCCTCAGGTGAGAATTAAAAAAAAAAGAGGTTCAAAAAGTAGTCCTAGATACTATGAAGAATATTTAACCAATTTGTAATATTAAAACCTTAATGATTAAAGGAGAGTTAGCAAAAGATTCTAGATTAAGATTACCAACTTGGGAAAGATTTTTGCCACGGTTGAAGCATAAAAATGTGAACAAATGCAAGGAACCAAATGAAAAAAAAAAAACTGTTAATAGTATACATCGGCGGTTCTCAATCTGTGGGTTGCAACCCCTTTGGGGGTTGTCCCTTTCACAGGGGTCGCCTAAGACATAACAGTAGCAAAATTACAGTTGCAAAGTAGCAACGAAAATAATTTTATGGTTGGGAGTCACCACAAAATGAGGAACTGTATTAAAGGGCCACGGCATTAGGAAGGTTGAGAACCACAGACCTAAAGAAAATCTAGTTGTGAAACCTGAGGAAGTTTCTATTGAAACTAAAATTGATGTGGCTGCTATCAAGGAAAAGATTAAGAAAGCAAAGAATAAGAAACTGAGAGCTCTTACAGCTAAAGAAGTTAAGCTTAAAATGAAAGTAGGTAATAAAAAAAAAAGAAAGAAAAAAAAAGAAGCCTTGGACACTTTTGGTCAGTGGTTAGAGTATTGGAGCATCGGCCAACAGACCAAAGGGTCATGGGTTCAATTCCCAATCCCTGGCCTGTCAGCGTCACGCAGGAGACAACCAATCGAAGTCCCCCCCTCCCAATCTTCCTCCCTCCTATTCTATCTAAAATGAAAAAGAAGGAAAAGTACTACACACAAACAAATTAAGCTATCTCCTTTCGTAAAGGACTTTGAGATACTAGGGCAACTAATGCCTTATGTGTAAGAAGTAATCGATTACTTTTTTGGGCGTTTGTTTTGTTCTTTATAATAGTGTTTATATATTCAGCTGATATATATATATATATTTTTTTAATCCTCACCTGAGGACATTTTTCCATTTTTTGTATAGATAGAGTGGGAGGGAGGGAGAGGAAGAGAGAGAGAAACATCGACATGAAAGGGACACATCGAGTGGCTGCCACCCGCACGACCAACCAGGGCCGGGGACAAACTGCAACCGAGGTACATGCCCTTAGCGGGAACCGAACCCGGGTCTCTCTGGACCGCAGGCCGATGCTCTAACCGCTGAGCCAAACCAGCCAGGGCCAGCTGATATTTTTTAAAATCCTATCCCAAGGACACATTTTTTCCACTGATTTTCAGATATAGTAAGAGGAAGGGGAGAGAAAGAGAGACACACACCAGTTGGTTGCCTCCCACGCGATCCCAACCAGGACTGGGGATCAAACTGCAAGTGATGCACAGACTGCAAATGAACCCATAACCCTTTGGTCCTTGGGCCTATGCTCTAACAACTGAGCCAAACTGGCCAGGGTTTCAGCTCTTCTTTATAAATTTAAATTAAATTCTCTATGTGTTTTTCAAAAACTTTTTTACTAGAAAGTGGTATATATGTCTTTGTACACATTGTACCTAATCTGTTCCCAGCAGGCTTTGTCTAGCATGATGTTAGGAGTAATTTTCTAGGTTTAAGTAAAGATTTTTCAAATGTGGCTACTAGAATTATCCAAAAATTGAGTAATCTGCTGCCAGTGGTTAGTCTTTGAATATAACTATATCCCAGCATTTGGTTTTAAGGAAAATAAATGCAAATTTTTTAGTAAAAAAAACTGAATTAAAATTAAATTAAATTTTAAAAAATAAAATAAATTATACCCAGAAGTTTTATTTTAAACCAGTATATACAAGACATAAGAGTCAACTCAAACTATCAACTTGGTCATACACAATCATTTCTTCCACCTAGTTAATGGCAGAGGGTGGTAGTCACTTCTGTATGTATAAACAAAAGAAACAGGGCAATGGAAGGAATTCCTAGCAGTCTAAGGCCTATAAACAAAATATAATATTCCCCATGAAATTATTAAAGATAATAAAAAATGAGAGAATGGTAAAATCTTGGATGAATAAATCAATAATTTGTTTAAAAATAGAAAACAACAGAAATAAATATCCTAAAACATTAAAAGTCAAATCCGGCCCTGGCTGGTTTGGCTCAAGCAGCTAGAGCGTGTCTCTCTCTCCCCACCCACGGCTTCTCCCACTCACTATATCTGAAGATAAATGGAAAAACATCAAATACACTGATAAGACAATTAAAAAATATAAATATCCCAACCTAAATGTTAGAATGGTAACAATTTAAAGACTAATAATATGCCATAATGGAGACAGTATGAAAACAGACAGACATAAGGACTATAGATTGGTAAAATTCTGGATGGAAGATTATACCTGATTTAAATATATTAAAAAACCGCCCTGGCCGGTTTGGCTCAGCGGTTAGAGCGTCGGCCTGCGGTCCTGAGACCCCCGGGTTGGGTTCCCGCTAAGGGCGCGTGCCTCGGTTGCAGTTTGTCCCCGGCCCTGGTCGGTTGTGTGGGTGGCAGCCACTCGGTGTGTTCCTTTCACATCGATGTTTTTCTGTTCCTCTCTCTCCCTCCCACTCTACCTGAACAAAAAATGGAAAAATGTCCTCGGGTGAGGATAAAAATATATATATATATATATATATATTAAAAAACCTATTAGAAAAACAGCATGTAAATTATAATCCCATTTATACAATTTAAAAAGTCGTGCGGGAGGCAACCAGTCGATGTGTCTCTCTCACATCGATATTTCTCTGTCTCTCTCATCCTCCCTCTCTATCTGAAGATAAACAGAAAACTATCCCTGGGTGAGGATTTAAAAAAAAAGTAACTATAGCCTAACTGTTCTAACTATTGTGGCTCAGCAGATTAACGAGTACCATTTTGATTCCTGGTAAGTGCACACGCCTCGGTTCGATCCCCAGTAGGGGGTGTGCAGGAGGCAGCTGACTGATGTTTCTCTCTCACATGGATGTTTGTATCTCTCTTTCCCTTCCTCTCTCTCTTAGAGAAATCAGATGGGCCAGGCCAGTGGTTCAGTGGTCGGGCCAGTGGCTCAGTGGACGGGCCAGTGGCTCAGTGGATTTAGCATCAGTCCCATGAACTGAGAGGTCCTGGTCAGGGCATATGCCTGGGTTGCAGGCTCAATCCCCAGAGGCAGGGCATGCAGGAAGGAGCCAATCGATGTTCCTATCTCTCTCTCCCGTCCTCTCTAAAAAAAATAAAGAAAGAAATGAGATAGTTTTTAACCTCATTATTGTGTTCTATGTCGTCTGAACTTTCTTGGTTTTTTTTTGTTTGTTTTAGTGTTAATCCTCTCCTGAGAATATTTTTTTCATTGATTTTTTTTAGAGTGGAAGAGAAGGAGGGAGAAAGAGAAATAAAAACACCAATGTGAGAAAGACACATTGATTGGTTGCTGCATGCACTACCCCAGTAGGGTTCGGGGATCAAACCAGCATGCAACCTAGTTTCGTGCACTTGACTGGGAATCAAACCTGCGACCCTTCGATCTACCGACCTACACTCTAACAATGAGCCAAATGTGTTAGGACATGAACTTTTTTACTCATGAAAGTACTTTATTATCAACAGAAAAAATAACACTATTCGTTTTAAAAAATAAAAGGGACAGATAAGAAAACATGGTTTCTGTTAACCAACAGCAATGTGACCAGTTTAAAAAGTTGATATAAAGAATTTAGAGCATCATTAGATTCACGATATATTAAGAACTAAAAACCTTTCAGAAATTACACACTCTATTCCTAATAAGCATGAAGTATGCCACGGTCTTTTGCTTTTAAATGACAAGCTGTTTATAAAACTTCTAAACATCTTTATTTTGGAAACAAAATATTTAGGGTGGCAGTGAGAGAAGAAACACATACCACAAAAGCACAATGTAGAAAGAAGTTTCTAGCAAAATTTCATTAAAAGACATTCAACTTTGTAATACTTTACAAAAATAAAGGAGTAAGACATCTAAAATATTTTTAGAATAATAAAGTTGTAATAAACCAATACTGATGATTTGTGTAGTAACAAATTTAAAAAGTACTAATAAAGTCCAGCCGGTGTGGTTCAGTGGTTGAATGTCAACCCATGAACCAAGAGGCCGCAGATTCGATTCCTTGTCAGGACACATGCCCAGGTTGTGGGTCAAATCCCCAGTGGGGGGGGGGGGGGGGACCAGGCAGGAGGCGGCAAATCGATGTTTGCTGTCATCGATGTTCTCTCTCATCGATGTTTCTATCTCTCTTTCAAATCAATAAAGAGGGGGGGGAAAGTACTAATAGCCTCCCCAAAACAGCAAGGTTCATAGAGCATAAAAGTACATTTCCTTTATAAGCTAAACCACATCCCAGTTGGCTTAAGATGACATAATACCAATGTCACCCCAATAAATTCAATATATTAAAAAAAAGATGACCTGATGACCTTAAAAGAACACCTCTATGAATGTGATAATAACTCACCCTCTGAAGCTCTGCATCTGGATCCGGATGCCCTTCTGCCAGAAGTCGCTGCCTGATTTCCTCAAGCTCTTCCTTCTCTCTTTTCCTATCCCGTTCATCTGCTTCCATTTCCTTTTCCCTGTCACGCAACCTTTTCTGAAGAGCACTTCCTCTGCAAAAGAAAATTGTAACAGGCTTAATTTAATTCTCCATCAATTATTACACATGATATCTCAAAAAGCACTTTATTTCAATACTAAAAGCTGCACTCTATCTGACCAAAGTCTCTTAATGTTCTGTATTTGCAGAACACCCAAGACATGTGATCTCCACATGTCACTGTTTAATAAGTGAGCATGTCTTGTCACTTATAACCATGCCTCATTAAGTCACTCTACGTAAGTATTTAAAACAAAGAGAAAAGTTGCTTTCAGAGAGAAAGAAAGCTCTCATTTGGTGCTATTCCACAGAGAAACCTCAACATATAACCTGTATTTGCTTGGATGCTAAGTTGTAAAAAATTAAAATAACACTGAGAATAGCTCTGTATCTTCAATTAAAATAATTCTTTTCCTTGTGGAAAAAAGTACTAAAAGAAAGTGCAGAATCAACAGAAAGCACAGGTTCTTGCTACCTAGTAGTTCATTATATCTCAGAATGCTGAAATTATGTACTGCTATTTTATAATACAATAATTTCATTTTTGCATTTTCTACAAAACTAAATCCTTCGCAATCTTTCAATTTAGTTAGCTAATTTTGATGTTGTAAATGTTTTAGCTTCACTGTATTAAACTTAATTATATATTAAATGCCTTTACTACGTGCCTGAATCATGTGAGGCACACCTGAGAGATTTTTAAAAAAAAATATTGACCGGCTGGTGTGGCTCAGGTGCTTGAGCATCATCCCATGCACCAAGAGGTCGGTTTGAAACCCAGTACGGAGTGTGCAGGAGACAGCTAATTGATGTCTCTCCCCACCCCCACTCTAAAAAAAAAAAAATCAATACAAATATATTTAAAATAAATAAAAATATTGTCTACATCTTCAGGGAAATTTTAGCTTGGAGTAGAGGGAGCAGAACAAAGCCAAAAATTTTACCACAGTGCCATAAGTTCCAGAATGAAAGTAGTTTAGAAATGCATGGGAACAAAGAGATGAAAGGCAGGCTTCACCAACTCTCACTTCATAGTAATGTATCAATTGGGTGAGAAAGGAGGAGGATGGAAGGGTATCTGGATAGACTGTGTGGCACTCTTGAAATTCTTGAACACAACAATTTCTAGACCATCTTAGACAGTCAGAAAAATTGGACGTTTTTAAAACAGGAAAAAGTCGGGACAGTGGCTCAGTTGTTGAGCGTCGATCCATGTACCAAGAGGTCACCGGTTCAATTCCCTGTCAGGACACATGCCCAGGTTGTAGATCCAACCCCCAGTAGGGGGTATGCAGGAGGTGCCAATCGATGTTCTCTCTCATCAATGTTTCTCTCTCTCTCCCTCTCATTTCCTCTCTCTGTAAAATCAATAAAGGGAAAAAATCTCCTTAAAAAAAAATTAAAACACAGGAAAAAAATTTGTAATGCTATTATGGACCACCCCCACCAAGGATACATAGAATTGTCGATCCTTTGCCAACAGCTCTTTCCCCCACTGCCCAACAACCCTCCCCAAAACAGCCTATCAGATATGGGGGTGATTAATGGATAAGACTAGAAAGATTTTGTTCTTTTTTTATTCCGCAGAGTGAACTTACATTCTATGGTAGACAAGGGAAAATACAGCTAATATTCCTGGTCAGTGTGGTTCAGTAGTTATAGCAATGGCCCAAGCACCAAGGACTTGTCTAAGGTTCAATCCCTGGCGCAGGCCAGGGCACGTTTGGAAGACAACCAACTGATGTCTCTCTAATGTTTTTCTCTCTCTCCTTCCCCTCACACCCCTCCTCCATTCCACTCTCTCTAAAAAAAAAAAAAAAAATCAATGGAAAAAATATCCTTTGATGATTAATAAAAAGAAAATACAGCTAATAAAATGCTAAAAGTTTGAGTGACCATTCATAAAGCAAGGCTTCTTTACCTGTAATATTTGGGATCATCTCTATCATCATCATAATCTTCTAAGAATTCTTTTAGTCTTTTAGCTTCTTTTGCCTTTGAGGAAATAAAGAAGAAAGTGTGCAAAATTAATGTAAAAGTCATTTAGGTTACACCCTCCCCCTTTCTTGGGAACAGATTTTTCTTATCCATGTGCTTATCTTTAAAATTCTTATACTTTACATATAAAATGTGAATAACAGTATAAGGTTTTTATCTTTTACAAATACAGTAATTCAAATTTAAGACTTATTGATAAAATAAAAACCACATATAATATGCTGTGATCAATTTCCTCCCTAAATATAATCTTCATAGTACAGTAATTATTTTCTAATTAATGCAACCCAGCACACCAAGAAACAAAACTAAGTTACCCATTTTTTTTTAATTCTCACCCGAGGATATTTTTCCATTTATCTTCAGATAGAGTGGGAAGGAGGAAGGGAGGAAGAGAGAGAGAGAAACACTGATATGAGACACATCGATTGGCTGCTACCTGCACAACCCCAGCCAGGGCTGGGGATCAACAGCAACTGAGGTACACGCTGTTGGCTGGAATTGAACCCAGGATTCTTTGGTCCACGAGCCAATGCTCTAACCACTAAGCCAAACCGGCCAGGGCCTGAAAGTTATCTTACTGAATTTGTTAACAGAACAAAAATATTTTACACATTTCATATATAGGTAAATGATACAACACCTAGTTTTTGTGAAATGCAGGATTAAAATTTTAAATCAGCCCTGGCCAGTTTAGCTCAGCTGTTAAGAGCATCAGCCCTCGAACCAAAGGGTCCTGAGTTTAATTTCCAGTCAAGGGCACATTCCTGGGTTACAGTTCGATCCCCAGCACCAGGTAGAGTCGTGCAGGAGGCAACCAATTGATGTGTCTCTCTCACATCAATGTTTCTCTCTCCCTCCCTCCCTTCCACTCTATCTAAAAAAAAGTAATGAAAAAATATCCTCAGGTGAGGATAAAAAAATAAAATTAAATCATGTTCCTTCATCCATTTAAAGGTAATGCTCATCTCATTTCGAGGAAACAAACCATGAAATTACACAAACCTCTTATTCCTATTTTTGGAATTTCAAACATAGAACAACTATCATATTTAACAGCAATTTTAACAATTATATATGTATAAATGTATAATCTACATCTATAGCTACATTGACAACTATTAAATCTATATACAAAGCAGGTAATGGTAGGTTTCTGACTACAATATAATTTGAACACACTTCATCCAGTTTAAATGTTACCTTTCTGTAAACACTTTCCCAATCTATCCATGACCATTCTCTTCTCCAGACAGTCTCTTCCTGTACTCCCCAAATAATGAGAACACACCTTTACCATACCATAAACACTCACACATGCTATAGTTAAGTACCTTCTCTCTGACAATATCACCTACATATTTCAAAGTTAGAAGCATTATTTATTCGGGTATACCAAGTACTTAGCACAAGGCTAGGATATAATGTACACTCAAAATTTGTCAAATGATGTCCAGCCGGTGTGGCTTGGTGGATTGAGTGCTTTCCCATGGACTCAGAGGTCCCAGTTTGGTTCCTGGTCAGGACACGTGCTAAGGTTGTAGGCTTGATCCCCAGTGGGGGGTGTGCAGGAGGCAGCCGATCTATGTTTCTCTTTCACATTGATATTTCACCCTCTCTCTAAAAAACAAAAAAAGCTAAAAGCATATTTAAAAAATATTTGTCAAATGAATAAAAGTAGACTATAAGGTAGCAACGATAATACAAATATCTAAATAAAACACAGTAAAGGCCAAAACAATTTACCACTCTTGAAGAGCAGAAACTTCCACCTTTTATATTAGATATTTCTGTTACTTAAATTTTTTTTTTTTTAAATCCTCACCCGAGGACATTTTTTTATATTTTGTTCAGACAGAGTGGGAGGGAGAGAGAAAAATCTACATGAAAGGGACACATCGAGTGGTTGCCAACTGCACGATCCAACCAGGGCCGGGGATAAACTGCAACCAAGGTATGTGCCCTCAGTGGGAACCAAACCCAAGTTCCTCTGGACCAGAGGCCGACGCTCTAACCGCTGAGCCAAACCGGCCAGAGCTTACTGGAACATTTTTATAAGCAAATAATTGCTCTGCAACTGTTTTATGTTCCCAAACAAATAAAATAATAGAAAACTTTCTTCTAGAAAGACAGCTTTCAGATTTGCTTATAGGAAGCAGAATCGCTTCAAATCCACTCCACAATTATTTCTTCAAATAATCTCTTACTATACTGTTCTCTTTCCACTTTTAACCTAGGGATAAAAAAGAATTCTAGAATGGGAGCTACAATCCAGGGAAATAAGAAGTATTTTAAATAATTCTATGACATTAGTGGATATAGTATCCAGAACACCCATACTATCTATCTAGTTGCTGCGTGCATCCTTTTGGTTACTTACAAAAATTCCCTCTATGTCTCATGTTCAAAAGCTATTTGAAGAAGAGTCCTAACTTCATTGAAGTTTTTGAAAGAATAATCTCAAAACTAGAGATAAAGAAACCCATGAAATTCGGGCAAAGACAGAACACATGGAACACTACTGAAGCAAATACTATGATAAAATATATTTTTGTCAATTTACTTAGTAACAATCTAAACCAACTGTTTCACTGTTATATAGTTTTATCACACAATGCAAATGTGAAAAATAAAATGTATATTTTATGATTATCATATAATCAGAAGAAGAAATAGTGACCTAAGGAAAAAAATTAATCCATAAATGTTATATATAGAAGTCATTTTGATTTATAAAACCAGAGGTCTTCTTATAACACTCTTTTCCTACATCTAAATGTACCAACCAATACAGAATATCAAAGCCTCTTCAAATTCAAAGATGATGTAGAGTCTTAATCAAAGGACAGTCTATAAATTCTCATTTTATACATTACTTAATGAGAGATTGGAAGTATGCCAAAAGATAATTTTGTTTACAGACAGCAAAACTGAAACATAGAAGGAAAAAAAGATTTTGGTGTACTGGAAGTGTCCCAAAGTCATGTGAAATATGTAAAAATAAAATTATACTGGAATCCCTGGTTAGTTTGCTTCAGCGGTTAGAGCGTTGACCCAAGAATCAAAAGGTCTCAGGTTCGATTTCTGATCAAAGGTGCGTACCTGGGTTGCAGGTTCAACCCCTGGCCCTGGTGAGGGTTGTGCAGTAGGCAACAAATTGATGTGCCTCTCACATTGATGGTTATATCTCTCTCTCTCTCTCTCCCTTCCACTCTATCTAAAAATCAATGGAAAAATATATCCTCAGATGAGGATTAACAACAACAAAATTGTACTGGGAGCTCACACAAGTTAATTGTAAAGTTATTTCTACTTAACAGTAAAGATTTTATATCATTTATACCTGAAAATCATTTTTAACCTAGAATATTACCATTTCTCTTCTTCTTTCTTCTTCTCGTTCAGCCTCTTTCTCATATTCCCGGGTTTTCTTTCGTTCTCTGATTTCCCAATTCTTAAGTCGCTAAAAAACAAATTATCAGGACTTTAAAAATGTATACAAAGGGTCATAAAATTTTTCTCTAAGCTACTACGTACCTAGCTTTACAAAAAAAAGCATTTCCTCAATTTACCTCTTGATAAGCAGCTTCTTTCTCCCGAAGTTTTCTCTCAAGTTTTCTTCGTTCATATGCATCTTCTTCATCCTCTTCTCGATCCCTCTTCTTGTCTTTCTCTCTCTCTCGTTCCCGTTCCCTTTCACGCTCTCTTTCTCGTTCACGTTCTCTTTCTCGTTCACGTTCTCTCTCTCTCTCTCTTTCTCGCTCCCGTTCCCTTTCACGATCTCTGCTCTTTTCTCTATGTAAAAAAAAAAAGATTAAAAAAAAAAATCTGTCAGTTTCCTGTTTTCCTTTAAAAACCAAGGAAGAAAACATATATTATGAAATATACAAGCTAACAAGCCAGAATTCAGCATTTGATTTCTGCAGAAATGTAAATTCCTCTATATTCGTTAGAGGCATAGAATATAATTCTAACCCTAAATTCTGAATTCAATGTTAATGCATATTGGTATCTCAGAAAACAAACAAAAAACTCCTGGATTAAGAAATATAAAGGACTAATGAACATGTTAATAAATTATAACTATATTTAGGAGCAATGAAAAGTTCTCAAATATCTAATTTGAAATGATATAACCAAATTGCAGTTTATGGTATGAAATCATAGATCTAATTAATTACAAATATAAATGTATATGTGAAACAATATACTGTTTATGGAGTCATATCTGGAGTAAAAGTATAAAAACAATGATTTTATATGTCAAGTTCTCTCTCCCTAACTCTCTCTCTAAAACAACAAAAACAAAAACACCATATTTATATATATGTCAAATTTTCAATAATGATTATTCAAAAGGATACTGGTTATTCCAGAGCAGGAAAGAAAAGAAGAATTTTAATGCCCACTAAGGATTAATAGCACTAAACTTCCAGTTCCAGTAATTGGTGAACTGACCTAAAGGGGACCTCCCCTCTTTAGCTATAAGATGGAAAATCTGCAACAAAAAAATGTAAATTTGAAAACTAGCTTGAAAAGAAAAGACGTGCTTTCCTTTCTTCCCTCTTCCTACTTCTTCTTTTTCATTTCCTTCCTTTGTTCATTTTTGCTCCCTCATTCCTAATGAATTTGAGATGTTTCATCAATTGAAATCAATATCATTAAGAAAAATTTCTGAATACAACAAAACAAAAGATGAATTACTAGGATTCATAAGAGAGTAAATTTAGAATCTGGGAGGTGACTTGTGGTCATCCAGTGGGCTACAGGACTAAACAGACAACAGATGCTAAAAAGCAGTGGTGCTAGAGCCAATTTCCCAGTATAATGGACCTCACTGAAACTGTGACTAGAAAAAAAGGCCACCTCAGCCCCAAAAGACAACAGAATCCTGTCTGCCCAGGGCACTGAATGGATAGTTGATGTGGTCTAGGTCTGGGTCGAAACTGGCATAAGACAGAAACTAATTCTAGAAATAAAAATTGTTACTTGCACCAATATTTTACACATGTGATACAGCAAGCTGTGCATGCTCTGTGCCTAAGGAAGTCCTCTTATCACATAAGTGTAAGTTGTCCTAGAGAGTGCTAACCTGCAATTTGATTAAAGCTATAAAGAAAACAGTAACTTCTATAAAGCCTTACCTTGATCTACTCCGATCCTTATTCCGATCTGAACTCCTTTCCCGATCGCGATCACGATCTCTTTCTCGATCCCGATCTCGATCTCTCTCCTTCGTCCGGTCACGATCCCTATCCCGTTCTCGTTCCCGCTCCCGTTCCTTCTCCTTTTCTCGTTCACGTTCTCTTTCCCTTTCTCGTTCCCGTTCTCGCCTTTCTCGTTCCCTTTCACGCTCCCTCTCTCTTTCTCTCCGTTCTTTCTCAATTTCCTGTCTTTCTTTTTCTTTTTTGCCTTTCTCTTCTTCCAGTTTCTAGAAACCAATAAAAGTACTTTTAGAGTTAACTCTATAGCTCCAAGTATTCATATTTTTCCCGGCGCAATGCCCAATATTAGGAACAACAACAACAACAACAAATAAACCACTTGTACTTTTCTAATAAATACTTGTGGTTTTACTTGACAAATTAAACTGAAGCAATCACAAGACTAGATAGATTTCGTGCAAAACCATATACTCTACACAGACCAGGAATCTCAATCTTGGATGCTGGGAGATTGTGTTAAGTATAGCTAGCCACTCAATGATTATATAACTAAAATGACCATGAAGAATGTGTTGGTTCACAGTACTTTCTAGAAAAACAATCACTTGGCTAAAATGTAATTCTTCCCATTATAAATTTCTGTAATTCAGTGGGACTACTGATACTAATTTCAACCCCCGACTTCCCATTACCTAAAGGTTATAGTTAAGGGTTTAATGAGGAGGTGGGGAAGAAGAGTCAGGCCACTGTAATGCAACTAAACAATCTGCCCTCTGGTTTGCCCACCCTCCAAAACGCAAGGTAAATTCAACCAATGTCTGTTTTACTATCTATGGAAACATTTACTCCCACCATTACAAGATGGACAGCCCACCAAGTTCAGAATTTTGAAAATCACTCACTTCAAGCAAAAATTTTAACTGTTAAAGCAACATATTTATGCCCATTATGCCTATAAGACAATAAAAATATATCAACAATGATAAATCCATCCTTGGAAGGAACGATTTCATATTAACTTACAGATGCTGTGTTAGGACATGGATCGCCAACACTGGATTAACCTTGCCTACAAGCTATGTTTCTGGGAGGAAGAGCAAGTACACGGTTCACAAATAAACCAAATAACAAAGTCAGACCAAGTTTGTACCCTGACAAGATTACCAGTGTACCACACGGTTTCTACACAAACTCAGAGAGAATAAAAAATCCCAAACAGGAAAAACAAAACACATTTATCCCTTTGGTTCCATGTTTAGAGTCACTGAAATAAAATTTAAACTGTAACAATAAAATGTTCATTTTTTCTTTTCTCAGTCATGTAAAGCATTTAAAACAACTTTAAAAAGCAATCTTACCTGTAATACTCTTTTTTTCTCTTGCTCATGGATCAGAGAACTGATAGAGGATTATGACAGAAAAGCTAATGCAAGAAAAATCAATGTATTCAGCTGCTGTACCAGTCTGTATCAAAGTAGAACGTAGGCAAAGCTAATACTGAATACATTGAAGTTACAAAAGAAAGAGAAAAAGAAATGGTAGAAAGAGGACAGAAACTAAAACTAGTTAAAGGGGCAAATTCTAATTTCTGAAACAGTTCTAATGGATTATAAAATTTTAAATTATAAAATGAGGCTAGACTACATAAAACTTACCTCAGTGTCATACACATATAAAGAAATTTGTTTATTTCTGAGATAAATACTTACAGATTATTTTAGCTGTTCCAATAATTTCTTTTGTAGAATTCCTCAATTTTTTTTTTTTACTCTTGCTTATTCACTGCACTACTTTTCTCTTAGGTGTATAGTTTCACTTACGTAAATAATAATAATTTGTTTCAGAACTCATTTCAAAAGTTTTGTTCTAAGTAAATGAAAAAGTGAGTGAATCTGGTCCATACTAAATGCATTCCTAAAAGATTATATATGCAGTAAATAGATACACACAAACACACACATATATGTATTTTAAGACAAAGACTGAAGAAAAAAGGAAATGGAGTCTAAAATGATATGTGATGAAATAATGAAGAGGAAAGAACAGAAAAATATCATAAATCTTACCTTGCTCTCTCTTCAGACTCGTCCGTGCTGTAAATGGACGCCCCCTGCCACGCTGATACCCTGACAGTCTGTGGTTATTTAATAAACTCATACCAAAACATGCAAAGGTTCACTGAGCTCATTTTTGTTACTCAAGTTTTAAACATTTCCTTTATAACCATACCACCCAATAAAAAGAACAGTTTTTCATTTTTTGTTAAGGCACATTTTGGAAATTCAAAACATTCCCCAGCCCACCCTGCAGTAAAATAAATCTAAGGCAGTCAAATGCTTGACAGCTTCTCAAACTCTAAAGCAATATTTTGAATTAATTTTTTAAAAACACGATTTCGTCATACTTTACCAATGACATGACAGGGTTTGACAAATAACAAAAAGGGGGTAAACCACACACACAACTGTATACTATTTTCAAGCTTACTCAGACCCTGAATTTGAGTATTAAACCTAACCAAAAGTTTTCCTCTAAAATGATTTCCCAGACTACCCTTTTAACTCTAAAAATCAATTTGAGAGAACTTCATTTGTGCTTTTATTCATATTTAGTTCCTGAAAAAGCACTGTGTACATAAGCTAGGGCTGGGTGTGGATAACAAGTATTCAGCAGCATTGATTCAATAGCATTAACTGTCAACTTGGAATTTTGAAAGCAATAAGAAAAAATAAGATTAAATAAAAGAAAAAATGAACACAATATTTCATTGAATTAAAGATCACTCAGTCTTATGAGGAAGAACCAGTAATATTTTATTATTCTCTAATATCAAAATATATTTCATGCAGTGTTTGCATTTCACTGTTCATAAGCATCACCTTCAACATCAGCGAACATTCAAAGATGCACTGTCATTGAGAGAAGCTTTCAATAGGCAAAACTCGTGAGTGGGATTTACTATGCACAAATACCCATTTCTAAGCCAGTTACCCCTTTGCATATTTTTCTGAGGGGGCATCCATAAATATAATAAAAAACAGAAGCTCATACTTACATCCTATTCCTTGTTACTTTCCAAGCTGAGTGTTTCATCTTGCATTAGTCACCATATGATCTCTATCATAATGGTGGGGGTCAATGAATAGATTAGCTTTATGGGCATTTACAGTTCTTCCATGCATCTAAAATTTGGTAAGTCTGGTAACCATTGACCTACTTTTTAAAATCTCCCCCTCTCAACTTAAATCTATACAAATATAAATCTTAAATTTTAACCTCAGTGCTTAAAGAAAAGGTTTTCCTAAGATTAAGTTAAATTACTGCCCCCAGAAATACACTACAGTGTATGTTATCCTGCCCCCTTGAATCTAGGTTAAATCTGACCTTGATGATTATGTGGAAATGTAAAAATAAAATTAGCTTTCATTCATATTAAAGTGAGATGACTGCAGAGTAGTCAATAACTGAAAAAAATTAAGTACAACACGTCATGGTCCACTTTAATATGGTCTTGGTCTTCTGTTTGTTTCTATCTAAATAGTTAATTAAACCTATAAAAAGCATTTAAATTTATATCCTAATGTAAGGTTGATTTTTTTTGTCTGTTTGCTTTAGATTCTGTAAAAAGTCTAGATTGGTATCAAGGGAAAAAACAAGAATACTACCTTGTGTGTGTCTCTGAATTTGCTGATCTCTCGGGATATCAGGTCTCTTTTGTCTTCTTCCATTTCTATAGCATTTATATCTTCCTAAAAAACAAAGGGAACAGGAGGGAATGCATAAAGATCAATCTAATAAAAAGTAAAGGTTAGAAATTCTGTACAGGTCTTACAAAACGTAAGAGTACATAAATAAAAAGAACTTTCATAGTAACAAATCTAACAATCTATGTTAAAATAATGAACATTCATACAGATGAGAATCACAAATCTGTCAAATAGCAGTAATCAGTTATTGTCAAAGCCTACAATGTAAACAAACCTTAGTGATGAGTGGATAAGGGATCAGAGGTGCCACTGGAAATCTGCGGAAAATCTGCGAAAAAAATCCACAAAGACTTTTTTAAAAAAGCCGAGTTCACATTATTCTGCAAAACAAAGCTGTTATTTGTTATACTATAAGCAATGCAAGATTTCTGTGACATTTTTTAAATTTCAAATTAATTAATAAAGAAAAAATTTCACTCACTTTCTATAATCTCTCTCATCACATCCTTTCCCTCCAACTCCCCTAAGTAATGGAATAATAAGGGTCTCATACTAGCAGGGTTTTTTCCTTCATCCAGATACAGGAAATAATCATACCAAGAAAATGTACCCATAATTCCTATCACAGAGCAAAATTTCTTTAATCCTCTCTTCCCAACCCATATCCAGCATATATGTCAAGTTATTTTCTTCTTTTCCAGTAATGAAGGAAGAAAGAGACAATTCCATAGGCCTCAGTTACCCTGTCCTGATTAACCCTGCCAATAACCATTCCCAACATTCACCAGACAAGTATTTATGACCATGTGAAGAAGAATGAGCCAAGTAATAAAAATGTATTGGGCCACAAAGAAAATGGAAGCTGGCCTAATAATAAGGCAATGAAATCCTAAATAACATAAACCTTGATATTAAAATTTCAATATGTTTCACAGTACTTTTGCATGGTATATGCAGATAACATAATTCCAATATTTTTTTTTTCTTTTTTTCTCCTCACCTGAGGATATTTTTCCATTTTTTGTACAGACAGAATGGGAGGGAGAGAGAGGAAGGGAGAGAGAGTGAGAAACATCGACGTGAAGGGACACATCGAGTGGCTGTCACCCGCACGACCAACCAGGGCCGGGGACAAACTGCAACCGAAGTATGTGCCCTTAGCGGAAACCGAACCCAGGTCTCTCCGGACCACAGGCCGACGCTCTAACCGCTGACCCAAACTGCCCAGGGCCATAATTCCAATATTTTTAAAGAACCCTCCCAATGTCTCTAAGTTTATTCAAAAGAAATACGTATAGCCCTGGCCGGTTTGGCTCAGCGGTTAGAGCGTCGGCCTGCGGTCCTGAGAGACCCGGGATCGGTTCCCGCTAAGGGCGCGTACCTCGGTTGCAGTTTGTCCCCGGCCCTGGTCGGTTGTGCCGGTGGCAGCCACTCGATGTGTTCCTTTCACATCGATGTTTCTCTCTCTCTCCCTCCCACTCTACCTGAACAAAAAATGGAAAAATGTCCTCGGGTGAGGAAAAAAAGAAATACGTATAAAAAAACCAAACATTTTCTTTCACCCTGGACTCCCTACTGTTCAGTGAGCTTGATCTGACAAAGAGTGGTGATAATATAATACACTGGGGAGGAGTGTTTCATCTTGTGCTGCTTTTAGTTCTCCAGTTAGAATCTGAACAGCATTACTGTCTATGGAGGGGAATAAGACATGGTTTATAAGGAGACAAGGCTAAAAATTAAAGAATGGGTAAAAATCCTCAGTGTTCAAGACCAGCATCCTGCTTGGAGCAGAGACAGAACAATAATTAGGCAAAACAAGGCCAGCCCTTCATAGCCAAACAAAAACAAAGATATTTTACTTCAATCCTTAATATCAGTTCCTACACTTTATTACTCAAGTATTTTTTCCCCTTACTGAATTTGAATCCACAGCTAAGCACAAGCTTCCATGCCAGTAAATTTTAAATACCGAAAACAGAAATGTTTTGACTAAAAAATTAGAAGTTAATTGGTAAAACATGGTCAAATTAGACTTAACAGTATATTATTATAAATGCTAATCATTCGGTTTTCTCCTCAAAAGTTGAAATGTACTGAAAGCACAAGAGTGACACCATAAAAAGTAAACTGTAGAAATGACTGCTGTCAGAAATTAGTAACACATACGTCCTCCTTCTTTTCCTTCTTCTTCTTTCTGGGGTGAGAGTCAGATTCTTGTGAAGGGGCATTGAGCTCGCTGGAGTATTCACGTATTAAAACTTCAATGGCCCCTTTGATCATCTGATCTCTTCTCTTTGTTTCTTCGTCTAAGGCTTCTTCATCATCATTAGTGACTGTTTCTGGCCTGGCAGTCTTAAAAAACAAAACAAAACAAAAAACAAGGCAAATTCAGGAGTGGGGGGAGGGAGTCAACCAAGAAAATGAGAGACATTGGAACAGTTCACAAAACAAACATGTTTTCTCAAAAACATCTCTACAGTCTTATTAAATGCAGATTTGATTTTGCTCTTAGCTTTATAAAATAATTTTTTATTTTAGGGTATTTTCCTTGGATGCTGGTTATCATTTTCTTTTCCTTTCTTCCCTTGATGGCTAATATTCTGACCCCAACCCAGTTACAAAAAGATTAAATCACAGGACTAGCATACTGCATAAGACATCCGTCAAGCTTTCCCGATTTTTCCAACCAACCAGCTCAATACTTGCACAAACTAAGAATGTTTCCTAAATAACTCCTTCAAAAGTTAAAAGTGAAAGGAGCAAAATATAACTTTATGTACACTATACTAGCCACTATTTAAAATAAAAAGCATGCATAGGTGAAATGAACAAAAAACACTAGACAGTTTTATACAATAAAATGTAAGCATCAGATAGGTCAGAGCTGAAACAATAGCTTCTTTCCCCACCCCCTGCTTTCTAAAATTTATATAATGTGGAAATACCACTTATAAAAATCACACACTTCTACGGCTAAAAAAAATCAGCTCTGTATACTACATAAGTTTTGCTCCCTATGACTTGCATGGGTAACATTATAAAAAATAAAACCACAAATTTCATGTTGTAATGCTTCTCACAATTAAGTAACTATTTGTAAGACTTTATTTTTTAAAAGAAGTCTAGATTGTTACTTGTGTTGATGTGAAAAAAAAATTACTGGCTTCTACTGTTCTACTATTCTTCTTGTTTCTAGGTTTCATTTCAAGTCTCCTGGTTAAGAAATTAATCCAGTTCAAACCACAAAATTTAGAGAATGACCTCAAAATATTGGATAATTTCCAGTTACTCTCAATTCCTCTCTCCTTAAAACTTAAAGTGGTGGAGAAGTATGACAAAAAAGCAACAAAAGCCCTGGTCAGTTTTGCTCAGCGGTTAGAGCATCAGCCTGAGGTCCAGAGAGACGGTGGTTCGGTTCCCGCTAAGGGCACGTACCCTGGTTGCAGCCTGTCCCCGGCCCTAGTTGGTCGCGTGGGTGGCAGGCACTCGATGTGTCCATTTCACATCGATGTTTCTCTCTCTTTCTCTCCCCCTCCCACTCTATCTGAACAAAAAATGCAAAAATGTCCTCAGATGAGGATTTAAAAAATAAAAATAAAGGTGTGGAAAAAAAAAAAAAAAAAGCAACAAAATAAACAAAGAGATGTATACAAAAACTTTTGTAATTTAAAACTAAATACACACATACCTCAAAGTATTGATCAATTTACTTGGCAAATATATATTATGCATGCAACATTATTCAAGGTTGAGTTTCAAGCCTTGTGGCTCAATATAACCTAGCAGTCATTCTTAACCACCAGCATTCTGAAAGCTATCTCCAACAGATATTTATTCAACAAGCATGTATTTCTTAAATGAATTTGCTTAACAAATTAAGAGCCCACAGTGTGCAAGATACTATGCTAGATGACAAAAAATTCAGATTTGAAAAGAGATAACCTTGTCCTTAAAGCATTCAACAATAAAGGATAAGAGAAGGTTATGATACAAATAACTTCAATATTATAAAATTAAAGACTCTAAAGAGTTTCTTTCTCAAACCTGCCTCTTCCTCCAACCTGTCTATTGCCAACTTTGACCTTGGCATTTTGGATAAAGAGAAGATGCTTTACCTAGGACTGTAATTAAATTGTTAAAATTATTTGTCAAAAAGATTATAAACTATAGTTGTGGCAATGTGTTCCTTTCTTACTTTAAATCAATAATATATCACAATAAAGTCTTCATGCAGCTTTCATTAAAATCCCTTCAGTGATACTCTGCTTCTCCACAGGTTTTAAAAGAAAGAATTCACCCTCCAGTCAACTTGTCATTGAAACCTTACGTCCTGAGACACACATTGTTATTTCAACCCAACCCTCAGCTGCTGAGACCTAAATTCTTTATTATAAAAATATACTTTCTGAGAGAGCATCCAATCTGTTTTTAGCTTTCCCCCAATTCTAAACTCCTTTTCATGATACTTCTAAATCCAAAGGCCTACACATCTAAAAAGAATCATTGCCCCAAAATGCCCTACCACCACTATCCTAAATCAAAATGTAATTAGTAGTGCCGATCCAACACCTAAGCATTTGGAAAGAACGAATTCACGTACTACCATGCAAATGACTACTGCCCCTTGATTTATACAGAAAATGTATATTTTTAGAAGGAAAACTAATTAGTCCAAATTTCTTTACTAACTGTTAATGTAAGAAAACAAAAATAACCAGATACACCATGGAAGGAAAAATTATTTTTGGTTTCACCTTGCTCTACCTCTGGTCCTCAACCATAAACAATTTCCTGATTTCCAGTTTCTTCTTCCACTTCAGAAACAGAAAGCACATTCAAAAATACTGAACAGCAAAAGTTCAAAGTTTGAGTACAACAGGATCACAGAAATCCATAAGTATCTGAGATATTTATGTGTCCCACTTACTTGGCTCTTTTCAGAAAAATTTTAAAGCTTCAATAGTAAAACTACTGGAAAACAGCTTTTCTAGGCTTCTGCTTTGGCACTGACTTCTAGAATCCAAAACAAGAACTTCTTTGGAAACCTAAACAACTGCAGAGCTCTTTCTTTTGAAGAAATGTAGATTCAGCCAGACTAATTAACATGCAAAGATGTGGAGATGTTCCTACATATAGCATCTATCATCATTTAAAATGTAATATAAGTAGCTCCTTCCAGAGATTACCTATACTTTCAATCATGAGAATTAATTCTTGAATGTTAACAACCACTACCAGTGACAATTAAGCAGATATAGCTCTACCTCTATTGCTGAACAGCCTGAAAGCAACAGGACATGGACTAAATCAGCATGGCTACCTCAAAGGAACTATTTTTACTAAAGATAAAAATTGCTGCTACTACAAATTCTGAAAAATCTTAATGAAAACTTCCAATCAAGCCATTAAAGACACATAAATCTTAAAATTCTGGGTCAGAAAAAAAAAAAAAAATCTCTCTTTTTAAAAAAGCTTGCATTTCGCCCTGGCTGGTTTGGTTCAGCGGTTGGAGCATTGGTCTGAGGACCACAGAGTTCTAGGGTCGGTTTCCGCTAGGGGCAAGCACCAAAAAAAAAAAAAAAAAAAGGCTTACATTTCTCTTTTAGTCAACAAGAACTACTCAACTAACTGTGTTTTCTTTTCTGCCTTGGAATCTAAAAAATGACTAAATAAAGTTAACTTACAAGTTTCTCAATGTGTCATTCTCAAATAATCCACACTAAGCCACTGTATTCTAAATCTCTCCAAGAAATCAATAAAGGAAAAAAACAAACAAGGAACCTCTCATATTTTATCCTGAAAAAACTGACAAATCTGTACTCTACAATATAATTATACTTGCCTAAGTTACTTAAAAAAATGTTTTTATCTGATCATTGCTTGAAATTTTAAAAAAAATTTTTTTTTTTATTGATTTTAGAGAGAGAGGAAGGGAGAGAAAGAGAAATAGAAACCTTGATGATGAGAGAACATCGATCAGCCGTCTCCTTCCTGTCTGGTCCCCAATGGGGACTGGGCTCACAATCTGGGCATGTGCCTTGACCGGGAATTGAACCAGTGATCTCTTGGTGCATGGGTTTATGTTTAACCACTGAGCAACACCGGCTGGGTGACATTTTAAAAATCAATATTGTTGAGGAGAACTGACATGCCAAAAAAATAACGCCATTTTTTTTTCTTCACCTGAGGACATTTTTCCATTTTTTGTTCAGATAGAGTGGGAGGGAGAGAGACAGAGAAACGTCGACGTACAAAGGACACATCAAGTGGTTGCAATCCACACGACACAACCAGGGCCAGGGACAAACTGCAACCGAGGTACGTGCCTTTAGTGGCAACTGAAGGTGTCTAGGGACCACAGGCCAGATGCTCCAACCACTGAGCTAAACCGGCCAGGGCAGTAACGCCATGTTTATCTAGTGACTTCGAGCACCTGGGCACCATGCCATGTGCACACAAAAGTCATGTCGTGTGGGTGGTAGCCACTCGATGTGTCCCGTTTATGTCATTGATTGTCTCTCTTTCTCTCTCCCTCCCACTCTATCTGAACAAAAAATGGAAAAATGTCCTCAGTTGAGGATAAAAAAAAAAGATTTTTAGATTGATTTTTGGAGAGGTAGATAGAGAGAACCGTCAGAGAATAAAACATCAATTGGCTGCCACTTGCATGCCCATACCAGGTATCAATGACGAATTCACAATCCGGGCATATGCCCTGACATGGAATTGAACCAGCAACCTTTTGGTGTACAGAAAGCCACACTGGCCAGGACCTGAATTCTATTCTTGAAGAAAGATATGAACAGATTTAAATGGTGGTTCCAATGGCTAATGGTGATTAACAAGTTAAATGAGTCACAAAATTGTGTGTTTCTTTATTCATATAAATATATAGAGTGAGTTACTTCATGGTCAGAATGCACGATCTGTAAATACTACAAATTAAACTACCTCACACGCTATTAATTAAACACAGCAAAACAACGAGTCCCTGGGAATTACACACGAAAACTTTGAAGATATCAAATCCATGCTTTATTTTAAATAAGAACTCAGTTATCACAGCACAAAAAATCTGAAAACTCTTATGGCATTCAATTGTTGTTTTTTAAAGATTTTAGTGATGTGGCTGGCACTGGCCGGGTAGCTCAGTCAGTTAGAGCATCGTCATGATAATGGCAAGGTTGTTGGTTTGATACTCAGCCAGGGCACATACAAGAATCAACCAGTGCCCTGGCCGGTTGGGCTCAGCAGTTGGAGCGTCGGCCTGCGGTACAGAGAGACCTGGGTTCGGTTCCCGCTAAGGGCACGTACCTCGGTTGCAGTTTGTCCCCAACCCTGGTTGGTCGTGC